CCCCTCCCTACCTGTCTCCAGCACCGCACTCGGGGACTAGCAGGGAGGGGAGAGACCTTGCAGTGTAATGAGCACTGATTGAGTGCTCATCAGGAAAGGAGAGTGTCGGGCTTATCCTTTATCCCTTTTGCTGCCAGACCGTTTTTGTGTTTTTTGCACACATTTAAAAAATAATTTAGGTCTGAAGATGACACAAAACCCCCAAATATTATATATTTTCTGAAAGCAGGCACCCTATAGAATAAAATAGTGGTGGTTCAAATTTTTTATGTCGCACAATATTACCGATATTACCACAAAATTTCAGTAAAAAATACACTTATGTTTATTTTAGAGCACAAAAAGCAATAAATACCCTATTTGCTTGTAAAGTATAAAAAACGAAGTTGCAGCGAGTAAGTAGATATCCAACATGTCAAACCTTAAATGTGTGCACACTCGTGAAATGGCGGCGAACTTCAGTACCCTATGTTTTCTATAGGTGACACTTTTAAAGGTCATCAGTGTAGTGTTAAGGAGGAGCTCTGGTGCTTGAATTATTGCTCTCATTCCGGGTGCACGGCGATATATAACATGTGTATCGCAATCAACGTTTTCATGCGTAGGCACCCCAGTGTGTGCTTTTACGTTTGTATGTGTGTATATGTGAGGGTGGGAGGCCTCAATTTTTTATTTGAGGGGATATTATGTGCTTGGCTGTAACTTTAATTTTTTACAATTTACAATTCATCACACAGGGGACAATAAGTCCCCTATGTGAAGATTTTTGGTGACAGGTTCTCTTTATTGAAACATCCGGGGTCTAAAAGACATCGTAATGTCACTTCCGGGTCAGGCCAATGGCGGTGAATCGGTCCCGAGACCCCAGATGGGCAAGCGGAGCCCGGGAGACAGTGGGCGGGGGGCAGGTTCACACGGGGGGGAGGGCAGAGGCTGGCACTGTGGGCTGTGTGAAAGCATTCGGTCGGCAGTGCTGCCACCCAAATGCTTTCACCTGACAGGTGAGTTCTGCTCCTTGCCCACAGTAGGGCTAAGGGTTAAAAAAAACTACCTGCCCGGCATCCAGAACTGCATGTCCTGGTAGTCGGGCGATAAGAATTCAACATCCCTGAGGTGTCTAACCATTATGATTTACTTTTTTTTCTCATGTGCAAATGCTGTCACAAAGATGTGACATGGTTTTAGAGAGCTATTTTAACTTTTCAAATGGAGCAATTTTTTAATCTTATGTTGTACTTGTATGTTTCTTCCTGCGAGTATGAGCACTTTAAAAGTCCCAGTTTCTTTTCCCTTTGTGTTTATCATTTAGAGTGGCCTAAATAAAACCCCAATGAGTACGTGATTAAAATGGTATTTTCTCTGTGCTTGCTTACTTGCATGGATTCCACACGGTCAGTCTTAAACTCCTTAAAAGAAAAGTTTGAGATTTTTTTAAAATTACATTCACCTAGGTGGATGCAACATCGATTCGATGCTGTATCTGTCTGCCGCCTGCTCTAAGGCTGAGAAATGAGCAATCAGACACTGCTGATTGCTCAGTTCTCTCTACTGCTCTGAGCAGTCACCCTGTCTGCTCTGTCCTTCTAGCGCTCACTGGAGCGCTGGTCTGTGGAGGGGGTGGGAGTAGTTGGCTCCTGGGTGGATACCAAACATATGGTCTCGATCTTTCCCCAGCCTGGTCTGGATGAGTGACGTCAGCCAACAGCGGACTTTAGCCCACTGTCAGCTGAAAATGAGTCACAGGAGTACAGAATGAACTGCACTCCTGTGATCCACAGGACAAGTACAGCCAAATATCTCTTTTAACCCCCCTGGCGGTATTCCTGAGTGTAGCTCAGGGTAATGTTTCAGTACCACAAGCGGTAACCCACGAGGTAACACTCGGGAATACCATGCAGCGCTGCTCCGGGATCCCTCGATCACTTACCTTGTTCTGCGCTCCAGCGATGTCCCTCCTGCAGTGTCCCTGGCAATGTCCTCCGGCGGATGCCGGCATCTGTCTTCTGGGTTCCGTCCCCTGCGAGCGACGGGACGCACGGGGAACGGAACGGCGGGAAATTTGAAAATGACAAAAAGTGACATTCACTAAATACACTAAAATCGCATAGTAAAACATTACTGTATCAAGCCATTTCACATACATTCTGTCCCTAGTGCTTTGTCCTGTGCCCTGCCTACATTTTTACTGTTATTTCTGCCTGGATTCTGAGAAACGTCCATGGCATCCAAAAAGCGTCCCTTTTGGTCAAAATCGGTTTTAGACCAGCTAGAGAACAGCGATAGTAAATTAGAACCACTTGCAGAATTGAGTGATAATGATTCGTGGGGAAATTTGTCATCAGACACTGAAAATGATTTTGCGACTTTGCTCAGTGATGTGCGAACTTGGCGCTATATTTCAAATTTCAGTGTTTTTGGTTTGATTATATTATTGAATTAAATCTATTAATATATTATTATTTTTTATAATTATTTATTAAATTGTAATTTATGATTTCGTGTTTCAAATTGTAACTGGGGATGTTTACTAGACTCTTGTTCGGACAGATTTCAGTGAGTTATTCCTAAAAATTACAGGCCTACAATAAAAAAAATACATATTTCCATGCAAAAAAATGTACCGCTTTGAGCACAGAAATATGGACATAATCAGACCGCTAGAGAGGTTAAGCAATGTCTATCACACAATGGGGTTGATTTACTAAAGGCAAATACACTGTGCACTGCAATTGCACTTCAGGTGCACTTGGAATGCACTGCAAAAGTGCACTTTCAGTGCAGTTGCTCTAGATCTGAGGGGAACATGCAAGGTAAATAAAAAAAAATTATTGCTTGCACGTAATTGGATGAAAGAAATCAGCAGAGCTTTGCCTCATTTCAGAGCTTCCCCTCAGATATAAAGCAACTTCACTTGCAGTGCACAGTATATTTACCTTTAGTAAATCAACCCCAATGTGTAACCTTCCAAAAGTATTTACCACTGATACTTTATTGAGACAGTTTTTTAAAATCTCTAATATGTCAAAAGCCGTGTCTATTAAGAGCAATTTGTTAAAAATTTCATACATGTTAGCAGCATATGTAGTTTTAATCACCTCTTTACTCATACTACGCCCACCATATGCCCAAAAGCCTTTGCTATATTTTCCCAGATTCCAATTTCACCTCTCCAGCATTCACATAATTCTTTCCCTCTGCATAACCTACCCATTAAAGTGCAGCCTGACTTTAACATAGATTCTGTAGCTTATTAAAATATCAGAATTAACTTCTCTTATTGAATTCAAAAAGCTACTAATGTTTTTCTTATGTGACATCTGAAATCTTGGTGGTTCTAATTGTGTGTATGTCTGCTAATACTCTTAAATCATTTTGATGTGATGATGTGTACTGTAACCACCAGAGGTCTTTCCATCAATCTGTATATCTGATCTTTAAATTGATCCTATATAGTGATCTTTAAATAAAGAAAACTCAGGACCAGTTTGGCTACTGTTGAACTACAACACATGAAGTTATTTCTTCACTATCGGCCAAACAAGCATAACTATTAAGGTGGGCCAATGCAAGATTAGCTGAGTCTTTCTGAAACTCAAATTCTTTCTCCCCTTACCTTTCCACTGTCCTTGGCTGGTGCCTGTTAAAAAGGTACCTTTTAAACTGTTAATGTTGCTCATTAAGATACAGGACAGTGGCTTCCAGATACCCAGGCACACCGTCAAATGCCTGTGCAAAAGAAGTACTCTGGACACACACTATTAAAGTGTTAGTAAACGCACAACAGTAAAATCAGTCTGTATATGCAGTAAAGCATGCTTGTTATGCTTACTGTGGAACCTAAGGGGTTAACCCTCTGCATTGTGTAAAAAGGATGTTTGATCCTCACTTCTCTGATCTTCCCCTTCTTCCAGTGTCTCCCAAATATCTCCTGATAGAACAGAGGCTAGGGGCAAGCTGCACATGCTCAGTTTGGTGTGTTTGATCCTGTCTTCTCTGCTCCTCCTCTTGTTCAAAGTTCCACATCTTGTCTCCTAATAAGACAGACTGAACCAAAGCCATTCTAGTTTAGTGTGCATTACTAGGGAGGTTTTGTTTTCCTGGGAGAGTGCATGTGGTCAGCACAGGGCCAATCAGCACTGTCCAGGCAGAGGTAAGGGGGTTTGTATCTTCCTAGAGCAGAAAGAAAACTCCTCCTACAAGTTTTTACCAGTGCTCTGCTGAACACTGATAGAAGTCACAAGACTGCTCTAACGGCTGATGAGAAAAGGTATTTAGCAGTTTATATTTACTAAAATAATTGCACTTCCATGTTGTGGAACAGATATGTACTGTGGGAGACCAGATATAGTGAATGCAGGGTCCTGGGTTAGTAACACTTTAAGCTACTATATATTTCATCATACACTGACACAGTTATAAATGCACATGCACTCATGATATATGTAATAAAATGAGCACTTAAACTTTACCTATGCCTAAATGATGACCTGCATCTGGACTGGTTTTATTATGTTGTAATTTTAAGAATTTTAACTTCCTCTTAACGTCCAAAAACTGTAAAACTGCATTATGGTACCTTTTTAATTATAAATTAGAATTATTGTGTCGTTCGTTCAATTAATCACCATTTCTGTACCTGGTAAGTTTAAAAACAGTTCCAGGCATATGATATAGGACATCTATGCCTGTAGCCACATTGAAGATTAAAAGGAAATCTATTCTGGTCTCATTAATCCTATACTGATTTCAGCCTCTTTACACACGTGGTGAACATTAAACTGCATGGTAATCCACACTGGTGGTGATGACAATTCAGTCACATAATTCTAATCACTAAAAAAAACAGGAATATGAGAAGTTGTAAAAATAGTGAATGATGAAAAAAACTGTACATTTTTTTTAAGATGGTTATAGTGCCAGTTACAGGTGATTATTTTTCATGCAACAGCCCAACATATTTAAAATTGTTGCATTTTCTTTCTCACGTGCATTTCTTCTAGGCAGCCAGAGGGCTATGTTCAAGCAGGCCATGAGACACTGGGAGAAACATACTTGTGTGACATTTATAGAGCGCACTGATGAGGAGAGCTACATTGTGTTTACATATAGGCCTTGTGGGTAAGTATTTCTGGTTTACTACCTTGTCAGGTTATGTTTTCAGTTACTTTATGTCTCTGGGTATATTAAGAAGAACAATGTGTTTTAAAGGTACTGTAATCATTTAGGATCTATGCACACTAGCGGTTTTTTAAGCTCCTAGAAGCTATTATCAGCAAATATTTTTCTGCTCCTAGAAGATAAATAGTGTTATCATTTGTGTCCATGCACACTACTTTAGGCTATTAGCATTTTTCGAGCTTCAGCGTCTAGGAGCAAAAATAAAATTGTTTTTGTAGAGTTGTTTAAGTGTTTTTTCAGCAGAAAAAAATGCTAAATGCTCCTAAACGCTACTAAAATGCTCTAACGGCTTTTTTTTCTAGCTTTCCTTTTTTAAATTCTACATGTACTGTAAAAATGCTAATAAAACGCTAATGCTCCTAAACATTTCTGAGCGGTACTAAAATGCTACTATAACCAGCATTTTTTAGCCAGTGTTTTTTCCCAGCTTAAAAAAATGCTAGTGTGCATGGAGCCTTAAGGTTTTATGAGCATAGTTTTGCCAATATGTGTTTTTACTTCAGAATCAAATGGCATTTTGATTTATTACATTGCACAGTGAAAGAACCAAACACTTATGCAACAGTAAAAAAGAGAGTAGAGTAGAGTAACATTATGTACATCAGCCATGCATGCTCGTAAAATACGAGTGTGAATGTAGGATTTTTTCTTATTGTAGCGCCTTTAAAAACATATATATGTGAATTTGAACAATGGAGTTATCATTTATTACACTGATGACAATGAATTTAAAGTGGTACTAAAGCCTTGTTTTTTTTTTTTAATAACAAACATGTCATACTTACCTGCTCTGTGCGATGGTCTCCTCTTCTCGGATTCCCCGCCGGCGCTACTTCCTTCCTGTCAGGTTCCCCCAGAGCAAGCAGCTTGCTATGGGGGCACCCGAGCAAGTGTGTTCCCAAGCCGCTTCTCTTCTTGTTAATTCACAAACAGAGCCGTGGCTCGGTCCTGCTCCCTTCCTCTCCTGATTGGCTGACTTGCTCCCACTCCTGCCTTAGAGTCCCTGGAGAACGGGGCTCTTGTGGACATTGCTGGAAGAAGAGGAGGCGCTGGTAAGTGTTGGGGGGCTGTTACACACAGAAGGAGTTCTACCTTCATGCATAGAATGCATGAAAGTAAAAAATGTTGAACCTTTAGAATCACTTTAAAGTCCCAAATTTAAAATGATAAAAAAGGGAGTACAGATACAAAGTTCGCAGCACATTTTGTGGTATATCAATAACCGCTTCCTTTTAGCATTGCAGGCATTGTACTTTGGAACACCTTTTCCTTTCCCCTTAAATGAATAAACATGTAGATAAAAATGTTTTTGATCATTATCAGTAAATTCCAGTGCCATGATAGTATGCATTACAAGGTATTTTTAGGAGCCTGGGCAGTAAATCTCACCCTAGATGTACAAAGATATAATCTCCATTTAGCATGCACTAACCTTAACTCACCTCTTGTAAACATTTGGGCATATGATTTTCTGATATGAATAGGTTTTCAGTGATGTGAGAGACAATTAACAGGTAAAACAAATTGTTCCTGTTACTCTTTGTTCCCCAAGCGGAAGCACTTGAGTTTGGCAGGGACAGTTTAATGTAACATTTGTTTTGCCAAATGGTAGTAGAAGATAGACTTTTATTATTTCAAAACTATTAATATATAAAATATTCCTTAAGATGAATGGAGTGTTTATCTAGTAATTTATATCTGGTTCATAGCCGAATAATTTTTCAGGGGATCTTCAATGCTTAGTCACAGGCCAAACAACAGAGAAACTTTTTGTAGCATTTTTCAGTGCTTCCATTCTTCTTTAAATGCGTTGTGGTGCACTAAAGGACTGGGGCATTGGATGCCAATAAAAATTCATTGCAACAAATCACAACCTACATACAGTGTGTGGTTGTACTTTACATAGAACACATATTCATGTGAATGTAGCCTTAGCGATGACAGGTCTGCCTATTGTAAACAATTTGAACATAATAAAATTAGTTACAATGTGTACAGTAACAATGCCTACAAAAATGGCTGCCTACTATCCGGTACAAAATTGTGAACAGGAATGCCTGCAAAACTATTATTGTGACTAGATTGCTTTTATTCAAATCATACACAAGAAATGTGCACAATGGCAGACTCTGGTAGCCATTCTGATAGAATCTGCAACTGGATTGTATGCAGTAATTGTGAATCATAAGATAAGTGCAAACTGTAAGGTTGAATCCAACAAATGGGCACTATCAAACAGGGTAGCATTTCACAGATACACTTTATTTTATAAAGAATTGTAAAAATCAATGATTCAAAATAGGAACCTAAACTGCCACAAATTTGCAACTCAGTGTTAAAAAGAACGAAGTACTATCATCATAGGAAATAATTTGTCACAACAATTTTCAAACATAGCCGAAGGGCCTAGAAAGTTGTCTGTCTTAGGTACGTGATAGCTCTTAGTGCCCTGTTAACATTAAGAACACTACATAAATGTCTTTAAATCTAACTGAAATATACACACTGAATTGTCTGAATATATTAACACTACTCCAGGCCCTTCCCATGATATCCTTCCATTTTGATGTTTGATGGACTGTTTATTTCACCATGAATTACAAATAAAGCACTTAGAAAATCATTTTAGGAATGTATCATCTACTGTATGTCTGAACTAGATGTGAAATAAAAATTTTAGAGGAAATCTGTCAAGGATACAATTAAACATTTGCACTAAAGATAAATAATAAGATGTCACCATGCTAAACCGTATTTTTAGTAAAAATCAATACATTGTGCAGTGTTCTCAGAATGGTTGTTGCTATGATACGATGGAGATCTGTGAGTGTAACAGATGTGACATATAATAAATGATTCAAGTGTTTCTTCTATTAATAAACTTAACTCCTTTACTGTTTGAAATGCCTGCAAAGAGGTTAATAATTAAGTGGGAACCTGTGACCGCTTCTAGGTGTTATGGCTGTGCTTCATTTATTCAACAGGTGTTGCTCTTACGTGGGACGAAGAGGAAATGGCCCCCAGGCAATATCAATTGGCAAAAACTGTGATAAATTTGGCATTGTAGTCCATGAGCTGGGTCATGTGATTGGCTTTTGGCATGAGCACACTCGACCGGATCGAGATGATCATGTGACAATCATCAGGGAAAATATACAACCGGGTATCTATTTTCTTATTATGGTTTTATAAATATATTACTAGTAACAAATGGCATTTGAACTATTAAGCTACAGCAATTCAATTGTGTTCACAGAAGTCGAAAAACTCAAACATCACTGAGGTCCCATGAAGGCATAACACACTTTGTTTTAAAAGGAATGATATTTAAAAATAGGTAGTTAACCACTTCAAGACCGGACACTTTTACCCCCTTCCTGACCAGGGCAATTTTCAGCTTTCAGCGCTATCACGCTTTGAATGACAATTGCGCGGTCATGCAACACTGTACCCAAATAAATTTTTTTACCATTTTTTTGAGACAGATAAAGCTTTATTTTGGTGGTATTTATTCACCACTGGGATTTTTATTTTTTTTGCTATGTAAATGAAAAAGTCCAAAAATTTTGAAAAAAAGTTTTTTTTATAAAATTTTGCAAATAAATAATATTTCATCATAAATCTTTGCCAAAATTTATTCCGTTATCTTTTTAGTAAAAAAAAAAATCCAAATTAGTTTATAACAAAAATTATAATTTTTTTTAAACATTTTTTTTTACATTTTTATTTAATTTTTTTATATTATTATTATTATTTTTTTTTTACATACTGTCACCCTAGCAGTACAGTGTCACCATGGTGACACTGTACTACTTGTGGGGGGTGATGAAGATTTTTTTTTTTTTTTTTTTTTACACTGATTGCTTTTACACCCATATAGGATGTAAAAGCAATCATTTCTCTTTTCTCTCTGTGTGCATTCTTGCACTCATTGAGAAGTACTGAGTGAGCTGTGATTGGTCACAGCTTGTCACATGGTACAAGCCTGTTGTGAATAGGCTTGTACCATGTGACCTCTGTGATCATTCACAGATTTCACACGTAGTAAGCAATGATGTCACAAGTGACATCTTGCTTACTACTTTGCATGTGATCACTGATTGGCCAATCAGTGATCACATGATTGGGACCTCGTACAGAGGTCCCGTCCGACGATCGGTGTTTCACTGTGTCCGGAGGACACAGCGGGCACCGGATCGCGGGTGCTGCGCGCTCCCAGGGAGCGCGCACAAGCAGGGTGCAGGGAGGCCGTTTATAAACGGCCACTTGACCCTACACTGCCACCGTCTGGCCGTTTATATACAACGGCCGGTCGGGAAGTGGTTAAATGAAGAAACAGAAAAAGGAGTATTCAGTATCTTCACATTATAAAAAAAAATACAAACCTAGCATGAGACGTGTGATAAGTAATCTGTAACTGTACCACATGTATTTTTTACCTCTCACAGAGATCACATGACAATAACTTAATTTGCTTTTCCCACTAGAAGGATGGTACTATCTTTTGTTCAGGCAACAAACAGGGCATCATCTTTTTCCTGGACTACAATACAATTCACAAATGTCTGACACATGACAGTTCTTAGTGCAGCTTCTCACCTTACTACAGAACAATTTGGTCAATAGGGGTGAGCAGACTTAGGAAATGCTTTTACCTGTCTGCAGCAGATTGATGGCATCCCAACATAGGCAGTTTCAACTGGGGCTTTTACTAATAAAAAGTAGAGCTTTTATGAAACATTATACTGTTGCTGTATTTTGTGACTTGTCAAAAATTTACTGATACAGATTTCAAATCTGAAGAGTAAAGTTACAGATTGTCCACTTTAATGTTTTACTCTAATGAGAGAACATAACTCCAAAACTGGTATAGAGGCACTCACGGGTCTTGCAGATGAGGTAAAGGTGATGAAATACAACAATATTTTTATTGTCAATGTTTCCAGGAAGCTCAGTCCATCTTTCTCAAGACTGAGTCTTTTTCATCTACCTCCTCTGCAAGACCCATGGGTGCTCCTATACCATTTTTGGATTTATATGGATTTCTTTGTGGGTGAGCACCTGGGCATTCACTTCAAACATAGAGTGCCGTGGCTACCCTTGGAACTGTCTATTGAGAGAACATGATATTGGTCTCCACTAATTACTTTTTTGATTCTACTAATACTCTATAATGAAATAAGTGTTTTGATTGACACATTATGAATTTTTTGTTAAACTTTGACTCCCAGCTGCACCCTGATTTGCACAAAACCAGACAAGGGCTGTAGCTGTCATGGCAAACTAGCTGAAGCTGAGGTTTCACATGTGGGATTTCACACTTTTTAGAAACCTCAGTAAGACAGTAGACAGGTAAACTTGCCTAAGTGCAAAAAATAGACATGTGTGGATTTATCATCTAAAGTGACTCTGTCAACATATTTTTAGTTATGTCATTGCATTGTAGTTTCAGTCATTTAATATGTGTTGGTAACTGTGCACTTTAAATATTGCTTACATGCTAAGTGTCTTTAATTTCTAGGTCAGGAATATAACTTTCTGAAAATGGAGCCTGGGGAGGTGAACTCTCAGGGAGAGCCATATGATTTTGACAGCATCATGCACTATGCAAGGAACACCTTCTCAAGGTTGGAACCTCAGGTTATAATTTTTTGTCTTTTAATTCACTTTTTCATATTTGATAATGAACTATCATTTGCTTAGTGATGTGGTATAGTGAAAATAAAGATAGATAGGTAATAAAAAAAGCATTTGCAGATCCACAATATTTTTCTTTTTACCATTTATGCCTGAACATTGAAACCAGTAATTTCAGCAATTCATTAAAAAAAATGGGTTAGATGGATTCAGGTGTTAAGTATGTTTAAAGTAAGTTTTTCTTCCTAATGTAGAGATTTTATGTGCATAATTTTCTGGTGTAAATATAAATAGTTGCATCAATAGCAGCATAATTACAGTTTTGTCTGCATTTAAGTATGGATCTTTGTACATATACATCAAGATTATGCTAGATTCTTAAAGTCTAAAATAGGCCTTACCATAATCCTAAAAATCCTATGCAAATGCTAAGGTGTTTCCTGATAGATTGTTGACAAGCAGTACACCTGCAATGTAATTGCTGCAACTTGACAGCTACTTAACAACCCTAAAAATGTAGATTGTTTTAACTGTGATATGTTTATTCCAATGTAGCTAAAGTAGTATAAAATGCACCGATACCAATGTTTAAAACCAATGTCTGTATTTAAAACTCATTTACAAATTGCCCATACACATGCAGAACATCTTTAGACAAAATTCAGCATCTGCTGAATTTTAACGCTAAGAGCTACTGTATGTACATGGATGCTAATTGACCAAGATGGACGATTGTACAAGTGCCTCATGAGCATTAAGATTTTGTAAAGTTTCTTCCAATGTCCCCTTATGGTATGAACAGTAAGGACTTTCCGAAAATTCCCATGTCTGTCAGGTTTCAGGTTCAGGACTGTCCAAGGTTTATTTTCTTTTGACATCCCCATCATTTATATCACATTATCATCATTATTAAAATCATTTATTATTCTATATCTGAATAAAAATTATTTCCATTTAAGCACACTACATTCTGGAGACAACAATTTCACAAGCTGAAAGTGTCTATATGTGGACTGACACAGCAGTTTCAGGAAACAAAACAGCAATGGCAGCCCACATACTGTATCAGTTTTCCCTACACTCCTATAAACTTTTACTCAAAACTTCATACATAAAAGGAAAACCAAAACACAAATTTAGCAATCTTCTTTATTCTGTATTATAATAATGTTACAACTAGGGGCTATGTCAGCAATGGGCAAACTACGGCCCGCGGGCCGTATACGGCCCGGCGGACCTTTTAATCCGGCCCGCGGAGCTAGGCTCCTCTCACCGTCCGCCCTGAAGACCGGTGTAGCATGAAAATCTGTCTCCTATGAGGATCTGTCCCCCTCGACATATCTGCGCATGTGCCGGAGATCGCAGATCGGCTGCTAATGCCTGAAACTGGCACATGCGCAGATACGTCGAGGGGGACAGATCCTCATAGGAGACAGATTTTCATGCTACACCGGAACGGCGCGGGAACACAGCGAGAGGAACGCACGGAGCAAAGGTAAGTGAATTGACACAGGGGGGACTTGGGGACTTAATATGGGGGATGAATTAATATGGGGGATGAATTACTATAGGGGGGATGAATTACTATGGGGGGTGAATTACTATGGGGGATGAATTACTATATGGGGGATGAATTACTATGGGGGATGAATTACTATGGGGGATGAATTACTATATGGGGGATGAATTACTATATGGGGGATGGGGGATGAATTACTATATGGGGGATGAATTACTATATGGGGGATGAATTACTATGGGGGATGAATTACTATATGGGGGATGAATTACTATGGGGGATGAATTACTGTGGGGGATGAATTACTATGGGGGATGAATTACTATATGGGGGATGAATTACTATATGGGGGATGAATTACTATGAGGGATGAATTACTGTGGGGGATGAATTACTATGGGGGATGAATTACTATATGGGGAATGAATTACTATGAGGGATGAATTACTATATGGGGGATGAATTGCTATGGGGGATGAATTACTATGGGGGATGAATTACTATATGGGGGATGAATTACTATGGGGGATGAATTACTATATGGGGGATGAATTACTATAGGGGGGATGAATTACTATAGGGGGGATGAATTACTATATGGGGGATGAATTACTATGGGGGATGAATTACTATATGGGGGATTAATTACTATGCTTACTATGGGGGAATATTACTATACTTACTATGGATGACACATGCACATCATTCATCTACTCTTGGTCCGGCCCCCGGGTCCAATATATGAACCCATTGCGGCCCTCAAGTCAAAAAGTTTGCCCATCCCTGGGCTATGTGAACAAAGGGGTAGTACTATACCACGTATTTAATAAGACAATTCAGACATCATCTTCCATTGTTTACACTTAAAAAAAAGTGATTAATTGTGATGTCATACTAAGTACGTTAAATCATTTGTACCCCTCTAATAGAGGGTAACTTAATTTGCCATTACAAGCATAGAAAGCGGAACAGATTTGGAGTAGGTGATTGGCAACATGATGGTAAGTGCAGTTTACATAGAACACTCACCTGTTCTTGCTCCCTCTTGCTGCGCTTTAAAAACACCCAGGAGCTTCTTGATGATAAATATTGTTAATCAATCCTTTTACCATTTATAAATGGTGTATTTGTTTCTCATAGCAGCTCATCAGATTCAACCTCTTATTTTTAAGTGTAGATTTAACCCCTTCCCGCCTAAGGGTAAAACAAATGTTGATGCCTAAGCACAATTTTGCAACTTTGACATGTGTTAGTAAAATTGTACATGTCGTCACAACTACTTTCTGTATCCAGGTGGATTATACCTTGTTTTTTTCTGGACAAATTGGGTTTTCTTTTGGTGGCTAATGGTAATGGATATCTCTTGATTTTTTTTCTTATCAAAAGAAAACTGGCCCAAAATAGTAAGAAAAACATTTTTTTTTTAAATTTAGCTGAATATTTCTTGCTATTACTATGATTTACCACCAAAGAACAACCCAAAATAAATGTTTCCTGCTTCTGACAATTGCAACGATACTACACCTATGTATGTTAGTTGTTTTTTGTACCCGTAGTAGGGCCCAGAAATGATGGTGTGCATTTTACATTTTTTTTATCCTGCCTAAAACACACTGACACTGATACTAACTAACACTGATTCTAATTAATTTTTCTTTTTTTATTCTACCAAAAATTTCCTGACCATGACCTTTGTCCCTGACCTTGACCCTAACACTAACTCTGGCAAACCTTGATCTTGATATTGTTTTCTTTATTTTGTTCTTTATTTTTTTATTCTTTATTTTTAATTATTATTTTTTTTTACACACTTTTGTTTGTGCATATCTTCCTCTCCTGCTAGAAGAGAAAGCTACAATATATCTTTCTCTTCATTCAGAAAAAGAAGTAAACACAGGGACGGGCTCACAGTAACTGATTACTGTGATAGCCAATCAAGGCTATCACAGTGATCAGGTGACCCAGGACCAGGAAACCTGCAGTCGCTGAGAGCTCGGTCTCTGTGCTGGCATGCACTGTGTGATGCACTCCCAGCACAGTGAGAGATAGAAAAGACTCACTTCCGTGATGCCACATATGTCCATACGGATGGTGAGAAGGGGTTAAAATAGAAGATTATATCTGACTGATTGCAATTCGAAATGTTTCCTTTTCTCCAGTATCTATGTATGAATTCCTCTGGGGCAACACGAAAAACATTAAAAACCGCACATTCACAAAAGCTGACAAATTGTTTATGTGACTGGATTTTGCAAGTTTGGTATTCTTTTTCTGCTTCAGGCTATTGTGTGGGCACAGATGGTGTACACCTGGGACTATGAAGTCCTGGATATCCAACACAACCTTATCTGCTGTCTGAACAAACCAAAGATATGTTGCTTTTTCCTTCGCATCCCTTATTCTCTTCTCCTACTTTCTGATTTCAGCCTTGTGTGACCTTATGAGGACTTTCAAAAGTGAAGCTCTACCTAATTAGGATAATAATACAAAAAAGTACCACAAGGCCTGAACAGGTCAGCCCAAAGATCCAAAGATTTTTTTCATACAGTACCTCTTTTTGTCTTGCGTGAGAACAGGTGTTCTGTACTTGCAAAATCAGAAAAAGATAAATTTGAAACCCAAGTTAAGAAAGGAACATGAGATAAATAGAGGAGCTACAGTAGTTCCACTCAGTTTAATTTACAGTATACTGGACTCAGAGAAAGGAGCTATGATTTATTAGTTGCAAATACTGTAAATACAGTATTCAGGAGTCAATAGTGGGGAAGAACCCAGACTGCGCGTGCTACATGTCCACGCCCCAGCAAATCATGTATAAAACTATATACAGAATATGTAGTCATGGACTTTGTGTGGACATATAGAATTGAAACGGAGTACTGTAAAAAAAAAACTTTGTTATGTACCATTAAGAATCTATTACACAACATTAAAAATTATAGAAAAATAACTTCAGTGCAATAGGTACTTCCTTATAATTGTGCAGCTAGTATGTAATGTGTTCCCACATATGACAAAATAAATAATGAAAAAATGCAGCCAACAAATAAACATGGAATACTTAATGATCAAACATACTTCATGATCATATATTCCAATGGATATATATATATATAGACGCACATATAATCTGTAATATCCACAGTGCTTGTGAGACTTTATACAACATAAATCGTGAGACTTTATACAACATAAATCGTGATGAAAAGTCCCATGTATTCCATGATAACTTTGTGTAAACAGGTTTAATCACACCACTATATTCAAGTGTACAGTGCTACTGTATCACCCCTTTGTGCTCCTCCACCTCCGACACACTTATGTGCTCACCTCAAAGTTTGACCCATAGTGACAGATCAAACTACACTTTTCCCTTTTAACCTGGGCAGGTATATATGGTACAAAGTCTTCCCACTCTTTGCCAACTCTTTGCCAACACTTTGTATAGATCCAATGTTCCACTGCATAATCATGTAAAGAAATTCTGAATATTGTGTAGTATGTACAACCAAAAATAGCCTTTATTAAAAATATATATATCCACTCACATTAAAATGTGTCCTCCTGGGACACCACAGTGTAAAAAAACTCACTATACAGTGCTCCAGATTGTTTAGATGCTGTAATCCCACTTGCAAAATGGCAGCACGTAGACTTCTGGTTTGTGGCTTGACATCATCGGCACACCAAACGCGTTACGTCACAACATGTGACGCCTGATGATAGGTAGGAGGAGAACCAGGAGACAGCAGAGTCTTGGAGGCCAAGAGAGTGGAGTTTTTTGAGGAGGAGGGTAAGGACAACAGTATCAAAAGCCACAGAGAGGTCAAGTAGTAAGAGTATGGAGTAGTGACCATTAGTTTTAGTAGTTAGGAAATCATTAGTGAGTTTTAGTAGGGCAGTTTAAGTGGAGTGGAGTGAGCAAAAGCCGGACTGTAAGGGCTCAAGAATGTTGTTGTCAGTGAGGTAGGAGCTCAGGTGATTGTAGACTAAGCGTTCTAAGAGTTTAGAGGTAAATGGGATCAGGGAGATGGGTCTTAAGTTTTTCAGGTTGGTGGGGTCCAGCAAGGGCTTTTTAAGTATGGGAGTGATCTGTGCATGCTTTAGAGGGGTGGGGAAGGTGCCAATAGAGAGGGAGAGATTGAAAATATGAGTGAGGAAGCATAGGACAGAAGCAGAGGGTGACCGTAGTAGATGAGAGGGGACAGGATCCAGGGGGCAGGTGGTGAGGCAGGCTTCTGTGAAAAGTTTAATGACCTTTTCAGTAGTAGCAAGGTCAAAAGAGGAAAGTGTTGACCGAGGTTTAGTACAAGGTATGCTAAGTGGGATAGATGTCTGTGTAGTGGCAATGCCTCTACGAATTGCATCAATCTTGTTTTTGAAATGATTTGCAATCTCGAAAGCAGTGAATGAGTTACTGGGTGGAGGTGCAGGTGGAGAAAGTAGAGAGTTAAAAGTAGAGAAGAGGCAACGAGGAATATATGACAAGGTATTAAAAAGAGTGACAAAGTAGGCTTGTTTGGCAGCATGGAGGGAGGATTGTATGTCAAGAAAGCAGATTTATATAGGGTGAATGCTTGCTGAAATTTGGTTTTACACCACAATTGCTCCAGTGCACAACTATGTATCTTAAGATTTCTGGTGTTGTCAGTCTGCCACATTTGTAATGGTCAGGGCCTGATACTTTGTGTAGTTAGAGGAGCAAGTGAGTCTAATGTGGATGAAAGTGAACTGTTTTAGACAGCAGTGGCCAGGTCAGGGCAAAACAAGGGAGAGATTCTGTCATAAAGGCAGTCAGTTGCAGAGTGGAAAAGACAAGGGTTTAAGTGAAGGTTTCTACGGGTAATTGTTTGCTGCTTGGAGGGATAAGTGTTTGAAGATGAGGACACTGTGAAGGTGATGAGATTGTGATCAGAGAGAGGAAAGGAGGTGTTTGTGAGGTTGTAGGAAGTGCAAAGATAGGAGAAAACAAGGTCCAGTGTATTCCCATCAGAGTGAGTGGAGGGCTCTATCCATTGTGTTAAGGCCAAAGATGAGGTTAGGTTGAAGAGTTGGGATGTAGCTGGGTTGTTCACAGTAATGGGGATGTTAAAATCTCCAAGAATAATAGTGGGTATTTCAGAGAATAGAAAGTAGGGTAGCCAAGCAGAGAAGTCATCCAGAAAGCGCAGCACCGGTCCAGGAGACTGTTAGATCATGGCAATCCTCAGAGAAATGGGAGAAAACATCAGAATGCAGCGAGTCTCCAAAGAAGAGAAGAATAGAGAGGGAGGGTTAGGCAGGACTTGAAAGGTGCTCAGTGGGGATAGCAGCAAACCAACTCCATCTCCTTTCCGACCATTGGGTCTGGGTGAGTGAGTCCAAAGAAGGCCTCCATAGGAAAGTACAGCAGAAGAAGCAGAATCTGATGCTTGAAGTCAGGTTTTTGTAATTGCTAGTAGGTTAAAGGAGTGGGAGACAAAAAGGTCATGGACAGAAGTGAGCTTACTACAGACAGAGTGGGTTTTCCAGAGCATGTGGACTGAGATCAAATTGAGTGAATTGCAGCTATTCCTGGAGGAAGGAGGGTGGCTGGTGTAAGGGTGGGAAACTGGAAGATATCCCCAGAGATTAGGAGAAGAAGGAGGGTAAGGAAAGTAAGATGGGAGCGGGATGTATATGAGTGCACATGCCTTCCTGTCCTGGTGTTTGTGTTAGCAGGTGAGTAAAGTATCAGCAGAATGTGATGGGAGCAGTAGTAGGGAGATGGTAAAAGTGAGGGTGATATGTATTAGCTTTGGGGTGGAGCAGAGGAGTAAAGAAATGAAATTTTGAGAATGGAGAATAGTAATATAAAAAGGAGGAGTAGAGTGGGCATATTAAAAGTTACATGGAGTGGCAATCAAGATTGTAGGAGATCTTTCCCAGGGTGTTTGCTTGCTGTCCATCCAGCGTGCAGTAGAGTTATTTGTTGTATCTTCCTGCTGCTTGAGTTATCCCGCTTTAGTTGAACTGCTGTGTTCAACTGCTCTTTTGCACTCCAGCAGAAAATGCACTGCTGTGTTCAACTGCTGTTCTGTACTCCAGCAGGAAATGCACTCACACAGGAAAAATGCCCCCATCTGCGACTGAACCCCCAGTCTATTGCACATGCTATGAATTACAGTCTACCCTACTGAGTGATATTACTCTATTAAACATTAGGAGTGGGTTTCAGTGTGCTGATTCCATTACATGTGCGCCTCAAGAAGGATTCCCAAAATACATTGAGGTCACATGGGCACGTTAATCAGAATCTTTGCATGTTGTGAACCCCTATGTGGAGAGTGATTTTTAATGTTGTGTAATAGATTTTTAATGGTACATAACAAAGTTGTTTTTACAGTACTCAGTTTCTCTTCTATATGTCCACACAAAGTCCATGTCTGCATATACTGTTTATAGTTGTACAGTGTCCAGGAGTCATATGTTTGTGCAGCTTTATAGGTGAACTGGTTGCGTGTTTGATGTTTTATATATATGTTTGCCTCAAACACACACTGATAAACATGAAGCAAACAAGTACAATTTAAAGCCAAGTGTATATGATGTGAGTGTAATAGAACTGATGATTCTTTTTGTGTGTGTATCATATTTTAGGGGTATGTTTCTGGATACAATTCTTCCATCCCGCGATGAAAATGGTGTGAGGCCTCCTATAGGTCAACGAACACGTCTCAGTAAAGGAGATATTGCACAGGCAAGGAAGCTCTATAGATGTCCAGGTACTGCAAAACTGTGCATTGTTCAGCAAAAATACTTCAGTAGCTTAATTCAATGCTGCCAGAGTTCAGAGGTGGAGGAATGGGAAATGTGACAGCAAGCTTAAAAGATTTGGAATTGTCAGCCAAATGAGCACGCCCTAATATCATGTAACCTTTGCTAGCATTTCACTTATCAGCTTTTATTCTACTTTACTAGTGTAAAAAGGCAGCATGATTTTACACGCAGAGCCTCTTTATCTAAATCCTGATAACTAAAGAGAAATGAGCCCTCCCAGGTCTGCCATTTTGGTATGTCTCCAAAATAAATACAGTCAGCAGTCATAGTACCCATGTAAGTAGTTAACTCTCTAAAGTTACTGTTATGTATGCACTATAATAAATGAATTAACACGGTTTCTAGATGAGATGTAACATGCCATTTTGGCTATAAAATCCATTGGATTAAAATCCACATATCTGTCATTTTGTTATGCAGCTTGGTGCATTCATGTTGAATTAATAATTCTTATTGGGTATGAGAATGGCAGCTGACGTGCTCACAAAGTTTATCTTCATATCTTCTCTGGCAATAAGCTCATATTCTGTGTGACAGTGGTTCTATTAAATATATCTGTATGCGGAAATAGCTTTTTGCTTTTAGATCTGAATTGTCATTCTTGACTATGTAAACCTAAATGTACTAATTCTGTATAAGTATGAAAGAAAGCACAGGGAGTTGTTATATGAATTATTTTTTGGGAATTTTGGTGTAGGCATATATTTTGTTAAAACATTTAAAGGAGCAGTTTGCCTAAAATTAATAATGTTAAATCACTGAGCTGCCAAAACACCTGTCAGAGCGCCAGAAAGGTCTTTCTCACATGTCCTGAATTTTTCAGTTATTTAATATTAAGGAAAATACAGCATGGTTCCTGAAATACTCCCTGCTGCAGCAGTAGGCACAGACGACTTGGGAGGCTGAGCTGGGGAGAGCTTTGATGGTAGTACTTGATTAATTTCAACCAGGACCATCTATATCTGAAATAGCAGGAATGAGAGGATTAATCATTTTACAAATATATACATCACCCAGACAATTTTCATGGCTTTTCATTTTGTGAGTTACTTAATCCTGCTGGCTACAGGAAACAGAGAGCATATTTATCACAATTGTGTATAACCTAATTTTTGCACCCTAGATTTTATTTTGAGACACAGGTGTATTGTATGTTTATTCACTCATACTGTATATGATTTGTTGACATTTATTGTTTTTCTTATTTTATGGAATTGCACATTTACATAGATACTTATCATTGACTTTACAGAAAGGGTTTAGGGCAGCACCTTTTTTTTGCAAATAGGGAGCACTGCATTGATATTTATTCAGTGTAGTTGATAGTCAGTGTAAATTGGGTACTTTCTTTTTTTATAAATAACTATCTTTATTGAACATTTTTCAATACAGAAGTAAGAAACCATGTACATAGCTCAACAGCAGCAAGGCTGAACAGCAGGTTACAATGATCCGGTTGTCAGGAAACAATAGAGTTCCATGTAAAGTCAGAGTAAAACATGTTAGACATTCTCATATATGATCTGATACTAAAGTAGACTGATGTAACTAAAAAATATTGTATGCATCTACTGAGACTATCGGGGTACCGTGTAAGATACCATCCCAGTTAACATTGTGAGACATTGGGTAAACAATATGGCTATGTAACAAACTAAATAAATTAAAAGAGAAAGAAAGAAGAGAAGAGGTGAATCCATGTCTCCCCGTATCCTAGGCCCGAACACTAAATTAATAGTCAGGTTATCCAAAGCAGATCAAGAGATCCTCTAGGATGAGACTTCTTTTAAGTGTCAGGTTATCCAAAGCAGATCAAGAGATCCTCTAGGATGAGACTTCCAAACCTGGTTATACCTATGCATTGTAGCCCTTAGGCGTGTGGTCTTCATTTCAATAAGTTCCACATCCCTAATTAAATGGGGTACTTTCAAAGTTAAGATGCAATATATGGAGCCCAATTAAGGAAGGATAGCTACTTAATTACATAGATGGACCAGAAACCACTAAAAAGTGGAAAACATCTACTCACAAGTAGATGTCTAAGATAGTCAAAGAAGACAGTATATAGACGGGATTAAAAAATATTTGTAAATGCAACCCATGTGGTGTCAATACAACCAAACTTTGGGAATGGAGTACCTTATGCCTTTTTTCGTTTATCAACTTTCTCACTGTGCTGGTTCTTGCTGTTTGATTGCTCAGACACCAAGCACTGCCACATAGGGGCAGGGAGATGGTTATTGGCCTCTGAATTTTTCATGCATTATTTTTTCTACGAATAAGGACATAACTGGCTTGACTCATTTTGAATTTTTTTTCCTGTCATCTACATACTAGTTTTTCATTGTGACTTAATATTGTAATCACCTTTGTACTGTATGTCTTGCAGCTTGTGGAGAAACATTACAAGATTCCACAGGCAATTTCTCATCTCCTGGATTTCCAAATGGTTATCCTTCATACACACACTGCATTTGGAGAATTTCCGTGACCCCTGGAGAGAAGGTAATCATTCCTTAATGCGATTTTGACAGAGTAAATGTTTATCTTATCTTTTCATCTCTCTTGTGACTTATAACCATGTGTTCTTAGCTCAAAACCTGCACTTTATTTGCAGAAGTACCACATCAAAATCCCTGTAAATATTTTTGATCTTCTTCTCTGTCTACTTCTAAATGGTCTCTAAAATAGTAATTTACTGTCTTGATAATGGATGAGCTAGAGTATAAAAATAACAGTTATGACTTTACTACAAACTTAGCGTATTCCTCTACAGCTTTTCTTTATGTGACCCATAAATCAATTGTGTAACACTTGTCTTATAAAAGGAAAGCTTCATCCACTGTATGCAGCATTGTGATATTTGCACCTTCATGACATTAAATTACAGAAAAAAATGTTTTCAGTCCAGGTAGAAGAATGAACACAGTGGGGTTAAATTACTAAAGGCAGATAGGCTATTCACTTTGCAAAATAAATTTCCCTTCACTTAGGGAATGTGATGAAAATTAACTTTGCAAAGAATACCCAATCACGTACAAGGAAAAACAGTATTTTTGCTTGCAGATGATTGAATGATGGAAGTCAGCACAACTACACCTCATTCACTAATATAAGGAAACATTCCCCTGTGAAATAAAATGTCCCCTGGGAATTTTAAAAGGGACATTTTCCTTAATAAGGTGGAGTCACTGGGAAGAAGTGCCTAGTGGACAGAAGGCGTTGGAGGATCAACCCAGCTGAGGAACCTCAGTGTGTGAATCCTTACAGGCGCATTGATATTATACTGAAGGTGTCAGTTCTGTGAGCACTGAGGATGGCACAACCTAAATCAATGGAGCACTCACTATCTAAAAGGGATACTTTGCATAAGAGTTTCTGTGTCTATCACAAGTTCCTGAACTGTATGGACATTTAAATAGGGACATTTGGATTTACTAGACATTGTGAGAAGCAGTTGGATAGTAATATATAAGAAGCACTTAATATATGTTTTTTATAGCATTTATACGTTGATGTATGCACTTCAAATACTTATATTTAAATTTTCTTTATTATTTTTCCATCAGCATATTTAGGTTGATGGTACATATACATGTTATTAGATGTTAGTGATGCAAACCACACAAAATGTTAATTTTTTTTTAGCAACACAGCATTTCATTATTTTATTTGAGTTCACAGCTAGATTGTGGGAACACAATTTTGATGCTAGCAGCTGTTTACATCAAATTCATCCACCGGATTTGTTTGCAAACACTATTGCAGGTAGCACAGGAGTAACACTTTGCATATTTCTAAGTATTAGAATTGTCCCATATTTTACATAGTGGGTTTTATGGAAATGGCAAGTTTGGTATACACACTGCTCACAAAAATTAAAGGAACACTTTGAAAACACATCAGATCTCAGTGGGGAAAATATCATGCTGGATATCTATACTGATATGGACTGGGTAATGTGATAGGAACGTGAGGATGCCCCATCATTTGATGGAAATGAAAATTATCAACATACAGGGGACTGAATTCAAAGATACCTCAAAAATCAAAGAGAAAAAATTATGCAGCAGGCTAGTCCATTTTGCTGAAATTTCATTGCAGCAACTCAAAATGGTACTCAGTAGTTTGTATGGCCCCCACGTTCTTGTATGCATGCCTGACAATGTCGGGGCATGCTCCTAATGAAATGATGGATGGGATCCTAGGGTATGCCTCCCGTATCTGGATCAGGGCATCACTGAGCTCCTGGACTGTCTGAGGTGTAACCTGGGAGCGTTGGATGGACCGAAACATGATAACCCAGAGGTGTTCTATTGGATTTAGGTCAGGCAAGCGTGAGGACCATTCAGTGGTATCAATTTCTTCATCCTCCAGGAACTTCCTTCATACTCTTGCCACATGAGGCTGGACATTGTCGTGCACCAGGAGGAACACAGGACCCACTGCACTACCATGGGGTCTAATAATGGGTTCAAGGATTTAATCCTGATACTTAATGGCAGTCAGGGTGCCATTGTCAATCCTGTAGAGGTCTGTGCATCCCTCCATGGATTTGCCTCCCCAGACCACCACTGACCCACCAGCAAAACGGTCATGCTGAACGATTTTACAGGCAGCATAACCTTGTCCACGGCTTCTCCAGACCCTTTCATGTCTGTCACATGTGCTCAGGGTGAATCTGCTCTCATCTATGAAAAGCACAGGGCATCAGTGGCGGTCCTGCCAATTCTGGTGTTCAATGGCAAATGCCAATCGAGCGCTATGGTGCCGGGCAGTGAGCTTACGGCCCACTAGAGGACCTCGGGCCTTCAGGCCAAGCGTATGAAGTCTGTTTCTGATTGTTTGGTCAGAGACAATCACACCAGTGGCCTGCTGGAGGTCATTTTATAGGGCTCTGGCAGTGCTCATCCTTTTCCTCTTTCCACAAAGGAGCAGATACCAGTCCTGCTGATGCGTTAACAACCTTCTACGGCCCTGTATCGCTCTCCTAGAGTAACTGTCTGTCTCCTAGAATCTCCTGCATGCTCTTGAGACTGTGCTGGGAGACACAGCAAACCTTCTAGCAATGGTAAGTATTGATGTGCCATCCTGGAGGAGTTGGAATGCCTGTGTAACCTCTGTAGGGTCCAGGTACTGCCTCACACTGCCAGTAGTGACACTGACCCTAGTCAAATCCAAACCTAGTGAAAAACAGTCAGAAAAGATGAGTAAGAAAAAAATGTCAGTGGTCTCCTCCTGTAAAACTATTCCTGTTTTGGGGGTCATCTCATTGTTCCCCATCTAGTGGTTAATTTCAATAACACCAAAGCAGCTGAAACTGATTAACAACCCCCTCTGCTACTTAACTGACCAGATCAATATCCCAGAAGTTTAAATGACTTAATGCTATACTTTGATTAAAAAGTGTTCTTTTAATTTTTTTGAGCAGTGTGTGTGCACAGAAGTATATTCAAGTTCTTTAGAGTAAAAAAAAAACAATCTTTATACAGACTCCACAGACTAGTAGAATGAGGTGCTGAAACTCTGCTGCATTTGTTTTATGCTACATGCTTATTAGAACACAAGACTGATATACTCAAACACTATTGTCTCAAACTTTGAGCTACAGACAAATTTCCCACACAATGTGGATACAGATGTATTCTGATGTGTCTATACAGAAACAAGTCTGTATTAAACATGCCAATGTGTTTGTGTAAAATCAAACCTTTTGCGTTTTTAAGAAAAACGGATTATTTAGATTACAATCTTTACCATATAAAGAACCAACATCAAGGAAAAATGGTTTGTGTTTGATTATTTTTCATTGTTTATTTTTCTTAATGGACCTTTTTGTATCCTTAAATGTATTTTGGTGCTTAGATAAAATAAGGTTACTATTACGAAATCCAAGTCACCATTTTGTACCTATAATAGAGTAAGCATATTTGATATGTATTCATTTTCACATACTTTTTATAGTTCAAATCAATTACAATTCATATTTTATATATATATATATATATATATATATATATATATATATATATATATAATATACGGGCTGATTTACTAAAGGAGTTGAAAATCTTCACACCAAAAATTTGGTGAACATTCATTTCAGTTATCCAATCATGTGAAAAGCATTTGCACGATTGTGTATTCACAGTGAACAGGAATTAGCTTTTCATATGATTAGATAATTGAAGGCGAACATTCACAGAATTTTTAAGTAAAGAATGTGTAAACAACAAAGTGGCTACCCCATCAAGCAATGAGCATCAGCAGAGTAGGTCTAGATAGTACAGTATTTGCTTTGGCCTAGGTTCACACTATTGCAGGTGTGGGAGCGTGGATAAATCACATGTATCCCAGCACAAGCATCCAGAGTGGGCTGCTCTTTAGCAGATGCACGTGAGTGCCATACATTCTTAATGGAACCCCCACACGTCTGAAAACTGTATGGTTTCACAGCACCATGTGGTTCGCTGTGCTGCATTTCGAGAAAGGGAAGTAAACATGAAAAACCTTTTCTCTGTGTTTCCAGCAGGTACACCAGATGAATCAAATAAATGTGCTGCTGTGTCCACATAAATGTACTTGCACAGAGCCGTGTGAACCTAGCCTTACTGTTAAATTTGATTTATGGTTATATTAATTTATTTCTCCCACACAGATCTTCACATACACAGATGATAAACATTACTGTTAGAACGATTTTTCATAATTCTGTTACAAAATTTTCATTTTGATATTATCCTAGCTGCAACTGTGCGCTGTACATTGAACTATTGAAGCATTATATCTAAATACTATGATGAGTTTTGTCCAACAATGTTAACAAGTTTATAAACTGGTTTTCTATATATTTTATTTTGCTTCCTTTTTTTCTTACATTGCCTGTTCACTTGTTGGCTGCTTCTATCTAATTTTAAAACTTATACAAGCTTTTATGAACTAGGTAATGGAAAAAAGGTGTGTTCCTACGCCTGAGTTTAATAATTCCTTGTTAAATCAACATATACAAAAACACTCTATATTCACTTTAGGTAATCTGAACAGCATTTGTGCTGTCAAGGTCAATGAGATGCACACAAGTTACATTAACTGATGCTATAATGCAGTGGCAGAATTTGCTTACGAGGCCAATTCTGTGCTAACTAATCTGACATCCTGTGTCTAATTATTTACAATGGAGATTCAAAGCAGTGCTTTCTCCTGATCTGTCAGGCTCAGCAATCACTACTGCTACATAATGCAAATAGATGTAATGAGATTTCACATTACACACCTCTTCTATCTCCCTCTTGTAATGTATGGCAATAAACCTGTGTATATAAGGAGGGAATTGCATAAGTGATGTACAGCAATTTGTTATGCTGACAACAGAAGGGCAATGATACAATCTCAACAAACTGATCTTGTGTTAATAATAAAAATATTCTACATGTTTATTTCTACTCATTGCTAGCAGTAGAGAGGAAGAGAGAGATATATATATATATATATATATATATATATATTTCATTATTACAGGTACTTATATAGTGCTGTCAATTTAAGCAGCGCTTTACATATATATTGTACATTCACAGTTCACAGTCCCTAACCCTTATGGGGCATACAATCTAAGGTCCCTAACTTACATTCATACATACATACACATACTAGGGCCAATTTAGAAAGGATCTCCATGCAGAGGAAACCCACGCAGGCACAGGGAGAACCTGGAAACTCCAGGAACTATATATATATATATATAGAGAGAGATATACAGTGCATATAAAATGTCTACACACCCGTTAAAAGGTCAGGTTTCTATGATGTAAAAAAATTAGACAATGATAAATAATTTCAGAACGTTTTTCACCTTTAATGTGACCTATAAACTGTACAACTCAATTGAAAAACAAACTAAAATCTTTTAGGACGGGGGGGGGGGGGGGGGGAAGTAAACATAAAAAAACTAAAATAATGTGGTTGCATAAGTGTGCACACCCTCTTATAACTGGAGATGTAGATGTGTTCAGAATTAAGCAATCATATTCAAAATCATGTTCAATAGGAGTCAGTACACACCTGCCATCATTTAACGTGCCTCTGATTAACCCACAATAAAGTTCAGCTGTTCTAGTAGGTCTTTCCTGACATTTTTTTTAAGTCGCATCATACAGCAAAAGCCATGGTCCACAGAGAGCTTCCAAAGCATCAGAGGGATCTCATTGTTAAAAGGTATCAGTCAGGAGAAGAGTACAAAAGAATTTCCAAGGCATTAGATATACCATGGAACACAGTGAAGACAGTCATCATCAAGTGGAGAAAATATGGTGCAACAGTGACATTACCAAGAACTGGACTTCCCCCCCAAAATGAATAAAAAGAAGAAAACTGGTCTGGGAGACTGCCAAGAGGCCTACAGCAACATTAAAGGAGCTGCAGGAACATCTGGCAAGTACTGGCTGTGTAGTACATGTGACAACAATCTCCTGTATTCTTCATATGTCTGGGTAGAGTGCAAAGACGGAAGCCTTTTCTTACAAAAAACACCTCCAAGCCCAACTAAATTTTGCAAAAACACATCTGACGTCGCAAAAAGCATGTGGGAAAATTTGTTATTGTCTCATGAAACCAAGGTTGAACTTTTTTTGGCCATAATTCCAGAAGATATGTTTGGTGCAAAAACAACACTGCACATCACCAAAAGAACACCATACCCACAGTAAAGCATGGTGGTGGCATCATCATGCTTTGTGGCTGTTTTTCTTCAACTGGAACTGAGGCCTTAGTCAAGGTAGAGGGAATGATGAACAGTTACAAATACCAGTCAATATTGGCACAAAACCTTTAGACTTCTACTAGAAAACTGAACATGAAGAGGAACTTCATCTTTCAGCATGACAACGACCCAAAGCATACATCCAAATCAACAAAGGAATGGCTTCACCAGAAGAAGATTAAAGTTTTGGAATGGCCTAGCCAGACCCCAGACCTGAATCTGATCGAAAATCTGTGGGGTGATCTGAAGAGGGCTGTGCACAGGAGATGCCCTCGCAATCTGACAGATTTGGAGTGTTTTTGCAAGGAAGAGTGGGCAAATATTGCCAAGTCAAGATGTGCCATACTGATAGACTTATACTCAAAAAGACTGAGTGCTGTAATAAAAGGTGCTTCAACAAAGCATTAGTTGAAGGGTGTGCACACTTACTGCAACCATATTATTTTAGTTTTTTTATTTTTACTTCTCTCCGTCTAAAAGATTTCAGTTTGTTGTTCAACTGAGTCACACAGTTTATAGGTTACATTAAAGGTGGAAAAAGTTCTGAAATTATTTATCTTTGTCTCATATTTTACATCACAGAAACCTGATATTTTAACTGGGGTGTGCAGACTTTGTATATCCACTGTACCTTGAAAGTCTACTGGATTAAACATGTCCAGGTTTTCTCTTATCACCTCCTCCCATGCTCGACTCCAAGACTTCTTCCAAGCTTCTCCCATCCTATGGAATTCCCTACCCCAATTTGTCCGATTATCTCCTAGTCTATCAACCTTTAGATGACCCATGAAAACCCTTCTCATTAAAGAAGCCTATATATTATGTTGCCAAAAGTATTGGGACCCCTGCCTTACACACACTTTAATGGCATCCCAGTTTTAGTCCATAGGGTTGAATATTAAGTTGGCCCACTTTATGCAGCTCTAACAGCTTCAACTCTTCTGGGAAGACCGTCCACAAAGTTTAGGAGTGTATCTATGGGAATGTTTGACCATTCTTCCAGAAGTGCATTCATGAGGTCAGGCACTGATGTCGGAAGAGAAGGCCTGGCTCGCAGTCTCTGCTCTAATTCATCCCAGTTCATTCGGGTTGAGGTGCAGGCCAGTCAAGTTCCATCATCGCAAACTCGCTTATCCATGTCTTTATGGACCTTGCTTTGTGCACTGGTGCGCAGTCATGTTGGAACAAGAAGGGGTCATCCCAAAACTGTTCCCACAAAGTTGGGAGCATGAAATTGTCCAAAATGTCTTGGTATGTTGACGCCTTAAGAATTCCCTTCACTGGAGCTAAGGGAACAAGCCCAACCCCTGAAAAAAACAACCCCACACCATAATCCCCCATCCACCAAACTTTACAAGTACCGTTCTTCTGGCAACCACCAAACCCAGACATGTTTATCGGATTGCAGAGAGAGAAGCATGATTCATCACTTCAGAAAACATGTCTCCATTGCTCTAGAGTCCATTGGCGGCATGCTTTACACCCCTGCATCCGACGCCTTGCATTGCACTTGGTGATGTAATTTAAACATCTAAAATTACCCATTTAATTTAATTAAATATAAACATCTAGCCATGCTATAGAGATGGGCTTAATTAGTGAGCAGTCCATCTTCCTATGTACAGAGAATTAAGAACCTCTTTAACCTTTTTAATAGTAGTGTGAAAAATTATATTTTTTCTCAGTTTTTTACCAATGGTTAACAAGTGATGTAATTAGTAGAGTATATAGGCAAGTAAAAATACAATGAACACATAGTTGTAGCCCTCAGAAATAAAACATTGGTGCCTACCATCATAATCTTTCTCTGTACACAGAAGACTGTTTAATATAGATATCTTTTCCAACCACCACCATCCTTAACATTTTGAAAGCATTTTCTAACTTCAGAGCCCTGAACAAGTACCAATAAGTTAGATGTTCTCAATATCTCTTTATCTTCCACCTTTCTTACGCAACCACTCCCTTTTACATAGCAATCAAAAGCAATTCAACATTTAGGCATCTATATACCAGCTGATCTGCGGAATATGCGGAACTTTGCTGAACCCACTGACATTATTCTTGATTTCCTCTCCAGATGACATTCTCTCTTGCTTTCCTATCTACAAAATGTAAATATCATCTGGATAGACATTGTCTCCCAGTTTTTTGTGCAAATTCTAGATGATTACACTACTAAGCTCATTATTTTAACATAAAACACCTCCCTTGGTAAATGTTTACATGCTGACCAGAAATATACTGATAAGAAATACAAAAGTGTCCAAATTTATCCATCTAATTTAAAAAATTGCACTACAATAGGATGCTGATTCTTTCCTACTGTAATATTATAACTAAAGCAATGCATGTCTGAAAGATTACTAATGAATGTGTAAGTACCTAAATAAAAGCCATTATGTGTTTATGTAATTTTTTTTTAAATGAATACATAACTGCATTATTTTTTACACGCTATATTGCTTAGAGCTCAGCTTTAAGCCTATGGAGAGTAAAGGGTCAGGAGGAGAGAGATCCAGAATGATTGCTTATCTGTCAGGAAATAATGACAATTAAACAGGTTGGGCTGCAGATCAGTCGTTTGTGGCTGCCTGAAGGTACCACAAGCATGAAGTTGAAAGGTGCTTACCTAAGGGTATCCTTAGGGAAAATGAACTAAGGTATAGAAATTTGAGTTTGTTTTCAATGTTAATAATTAAAAATATAGAAAAAAGGTCTGTCTTTACTGGCCTAATGATCCTGGATTGGCACTACAGATTGGTATTCCAATAGCCACAAAAAGTAATTGCAACTTCTAATACATTGGCACAAGTGTTTTTACTACTTCTATATTTGTAAGAAAAGTTTGACATATCAATTTGAGAAGGTTGTAGTTCCAACATAACCCTTTGTTAAACAGCATGCATAATCCAACTTGTTGTTTTGCAGATTGTCCTGAATTTTACAACTATGGACCTTTATAAGAGCAGTCTCTGTTGGTATGACTATATTGAAGTTAGAGACGGTTACTGGAGAAAATCCCCTCTGCTCGGTATGATGTACAAAGTACCTTTGTTTGACCTATTTTTAAAGCAATACTCTGCTTTTTAAATAGACTAGAGTTGTTCTTAAGTTTGAACTCCTAGATAACATTATACTCCCCCTTTTCTTTTTATTAAATACCCAGATTGCCTTTGTATACTGCTGATATATTTTACATAACATCTATTACACAAACCAACACACATTTTGGTGCATCAAATGTTAGGCCTGTTTCTGGGTATATTTGACCCTGTGTCCAGTTCTGAAGACCTCACTTACAAAAAGATATTGATAAGATAGAACGAGTCCAGAGACAGGTAACAAAAATGGTGAAAGGTCTGGGTGATAAAACATATCAAGAGCGACTTCAGAAACTTACCATGTACAGTCTGGAGGAAAGAAGGAAAATGGGAGACATGATTGAAACCTTTAAATACTTCAAGGTGAATAAGGTTCAGGAGGGCAGTATTTTCAACACAAAACCAAAATCAAGAACACTGGGACATGACCTTAAACTAACTGGAGGAAAGTTCAAAACTAGTCTCAGAAAGTACTATTCTACTGAAAGAGTAGTTGAGCCAGTCAAAAGTAAGTAGCTTCAATATGCTCGGGCCAGGCATAGATCTATACTCAGACAAAAGAGTTAACAAAAAAAACAAACAAAAAAACAACCCCCCACACACACAAAAAACCCCCACAAACAGAAGCATACAAACACCCCCCCCCCCCCAAAAAAAAAACACCCCCCCCCAAAAGAAAAACAAAACAGGCAGACTTGATGTTTAATACACACATGTTCATTTACTTTTATTATTGATACCTGTAGCTACATTTGTTTTCAAAGAGAGAACACTGCTTTTTATATGAACTTTTTCATGGCCCTAAAATAGACACTATGGGGTTCATTTACTAAAACTGGAGAGTCTAAAATCTGTTGCAGCTGTGCATGATACACAATTTGCTTCTATTCTAACCACAGCTTGTTCAAATAAGCTTTGACAAATAACCTGTAAACTGATTGGTTTCTATGCACAACTGCACCAGATTTTGCACTCTTCAGTTTTAGTACATCAACTCCACTATATTTATTCAGTGTATCAATGCTCTGTAACTGAAACACAGGTACTGTAGATTAAGTTCAGTTTAATGGTATTTGGCACAGATAATTCCCAGTGTAGGTATTTGGTGCCAAGACAAGTTAGTGTTTTTCAACATTTCCGTGGATCTGAACCTTGAAGTATACTTGTCATTAAAGAGATATACAGGTTTTCATTGCTGGCTTCCTTGTGAAAATGCTATTTACTCTGCTGTGTTTGGCTTCAACATTTCATGACCTGGAACAATCAAACAAGCAAATTAAAGTCTGAGAAAAGTCAGAATTCCTTTCCCCCATACTTATTCATGGTTAAGCCATGTCATTTGCATGGCAGCCATGGAACTAGCTTATTCAGAGTTGAGAGGTCAGTGGTGCCATTTTTGTTTAATCTATGCTGAGACCCTGCCTTTACTAAAACACTGCATTTTATCCTAATCCCTGAAATAGACATGTAACTTCCCCCCAGCAACAGCTAACTAAGCTTAATCTTTAATACATAAAGAATAAGTCTACATACAAAGTCAAACAAACTCACACTTGCCTTTCCCAGTTGCATCCTTTGGTGTTTCCCGAGTTACTCAGGCCTGAAGACCTGAGACTTATGAGCATATTTATAAAGCAGTGAATGTGAGATTTACCAATTATTCATTGCAGGTGAATCTGTCTGTGTTTTAAATGACAGGGAATGATAACGCATCTTGAAAACCTTAATAAAACCTCCAATGCAAAGTAAATCCCCTCAAATGCTTACCCACCTTGTTGGCATCATCAGTGGAAAAGTGTCCTCTCCTATTCTGAAATCTACCAGTGCCAAGAAATTGGCACTGAGAACCACTGATCTGGAAGATTGTGGCCACAAGTGTAGCTGCTGCTTGGAGCTTTGTTAATATATGGGACCTGGACTCTGTAGTTTTTTTGTACATCTATTACAAATTCTAATGTTTCAGCAAACTTAAATGCCCTATTTCTGCATGTACTGTATACATGAACCCATGCAAACATAAGGTGAAGGCACAAGCCCAATTCTGATCTAAATATCATAAATGTTAGCCTCCAAGCTGATGTGTTTTTATGTAATAGCATGCATTCTTTGGTCATTTAACATGTTAATTTTTCTAAATTAGAGTATATTCTTAATTATTTTAGGCAGGTTTTGCGGTGATAAAGTGCCAGAGGTCCTGACAACAACAGACAGCAGAATGTGGATAGAGTTTCGAAGCAGCAGCAACTGGGTTGGCAAAGGATTTGCTTCAATCTATGAAGGTGAGATAATGTATACAGGGTGACTTAGGAAGTCAGTTTATTGTCTGGGAGTAAAGTATATGTTTAGCCCAAACTTTTTCCTAGTTTTAGATTAAAGTATGGAAAAATGAGTAGCTATGTCATGCGTACATCACCGCCTGTGTCTCTACTGGTTAGATTTCCTCTTCTCTGCTTGTCCTACTGACCATTGTCACAAAGACAGAAAGTGATGGGAAATGGAAAATGTTTTCATTGTCACCAAAACAAGAGGTGACAGTAAATCTTTCAGTGAGACATGTGCTCTGGTGGCAACTGTCTAAAAGGGGATTCTACCCCATTTTGTAGAGATTTCCTCTCACTTCCTGCTGCATCTCCAGGACAGAAAGTAAAGGGAAATTTCCCCAACAGGCTAGAGACAGGACTTTACACCTTTCCTTTTGCTACCGAAGTCTAAAGAAAAAGGTTTTGGCTATTTAAACTCTTAGGCAGTTCAAATCATGCTGTGCAGTTACTAGTGTTGTACATGTACAATACATGCTTTAATAACCCAAGAGTTAGCTATGATAATTTTAACATACTGTATCTCTGCATTGTCAGGGAAATTTGAGAATTGTAGTTCATTAGCTGCTAAACTGGTTTTTAAGCTGTCCATATTTATCTTCAAATATGTGATCTTTCTTAACAAAATTGCTAATTAGATATATTTTACTTTCATGATCTGAGATAACAATCAAATTTAATCATTTACACTATCATATATTCACGATAACAGTACCTTTTGTCAAATCTGATTTTTTTCTATTTACCCATTTTTTTCAGCTATTTGTGGAGGAGAAATTCACAAAGACTCTGGCCAGATTCAGTCCCCCAATTATCCAGATGACTACAGGCCATCCAAAGAATGTATATGGAAAATAACAGTAGCTGAAAATTACAATGTCGGATTAACCTTCCAGGCATTTGAGGTAACATTATCTGACCTAAACTGGTGTTAGGATAAATTATATTGCTTTCAGAAATCTCTAATCCAGACTGCAGTGAACAAATTGCCATTGACAGGCCAACCTCCAGGCTAGACTCCTTTTCTATGCATACATTTTCAAGAGGATTAAATGAATATAAGCGTATTGGTTCTATTTGCATTAAACAGGTTTAAAGCCCTGACAATAGGCACTTTTCTCAGCCTCTTAATTATTTTAAATCAAGCCATAATGTAGCACCATTAAGTAAAACATCATTTAGTGGTGATCCATCTTTTTCTAATAAAACTAATGGTGTGTGTACATGTGTTGCATTTCATAGCCACTTCTATAAAAAATCCTTAATATCCAACTATATTTATTATGGTGCAGTACAATTTTGTGATGTCATTTAGCTGCTTGGTTTTACAAAATGTTAACATAAGGGCAGTGAAGGCTTGGTAACATTGTCTTATGACTTCATTATATACTGTATTTTCAGTATTGTTGCTTTGGCACTGTTTAGGAGAGCTTTGTGAAGAAAAACTGCTTTAACGATGAATCCCAGTTTAAATAAACAGCCCTGGTTGCTTCTTACTACAAACAAGGTGGGGATTAATCAGGGTCAGCATTTATATTGCCAGATGATTGCATGCTATTTTTATATTTCAATATTTTTATTGAAAAAAGAGATATACAAAAACAAGAACATAGAGACTTAGCCCACCTACAGGGTGAGTAGAGGCAAATAAACAGGTTCATAAGTATATAAGCACGTAATAAATATCAATCAATAATATTGTAAGCAAAAAAAATACAGCCCCCATGTGGAAGCAAATGTTCCATTGGTCAGTAAAATGGGCAGTTTAGTAACAAAAAGCCAAAATAAACAAGAACATAACAGAAGAAAAAAAAAAGAAAAGAAGAAGGGGGGACGAGGAGAGAAAGAGAAGGAAAAAAGAAGAGGGGAAAGAGATGGTCAGCCACATTCCCATTAAGTGATAGAGATATACCTAACCCATGGTTCCCATGTGACCTCAAATTTAGAGGTATTATTGATAATGATACTCGTAAGTTTATCATTTATCATGATCCAATTAAGTTTTTGTTTGACCCAGTCTCGCGGAATAGATGACTGTTTCCAACTTCTAGCTATTGTAATTTGTACTGCTAACAAAATATAAAGAATTAATTTAACTGATTTCTTGGGAATATCAATGGGCAACAGATGAAATAGAGCTACCTCCGGAGTTCTGCGAATATTAATTCCCATTACTGAATAAAGAAAATTAAATATTCTAATCCAAAATCTATGGACCACTGGATATTTTCACCATACATGGAGCATAGTGCCCTCCTGTCCACAGTGTCTAAAGCAATTGGGTGACACGGATGGGTACATTTTAGCAAGATGTGTTGGAACTAGATACCAACGAAGAAATGTTTTATAATTGGATTCGATAAGAGTAGTATTGATCGAAATTTTAGATAGGGTATTGGCTGTAGTCCGCCAAGTGTCTAAATCTAAAGAGCTGTTCAGATCCCTTTCCCATTGAATCATATAGGATAGCTTGGTGAGTGGATCAACAAGGGGAGCATAGATAGCGGATAATCGACCCTTCATCCTCCCAGTAGCCCCACAGGAGATCTCTAGATGGGTGAGTGTGCAAGGTTCTGTGAGTAGATTGAGTTTACTGGTAATAAAGGACATCAGCTGATGATAACGGAACCGTTCACATGACGGCATCTGAAAAGTTGCCAAAAAGTATTGGAGAGAACGAGGATGAAGACCATCGAAGTAATCCCTAGTATGAAAAAGACCCTTATTTATCCACCAATGGAATACAGATGGCGATAGGCCATTAATAAACTTGGGGTTACAAAAGACAGGAGCTAATGGGGTATGTGGAGAGCAGAGAGATTTACGCGCCCGTCATCTATCCCAGACCGTTAAGGAATAGGATAATGTAGGACAAAGGATAGGAGGATGCAACCTTTTAGGAAGCCACATGAGAGCGCCAATAGCATGAGAATGACAAGATAAGGTCTCAATACGAACCCATTGGGGTACATAGCCCCTGGCAGTAGTACAAGAGAGCTGTGCCATCTGAGCTGCCTGAAAGTGAATCTGGAGATTAGGAAGTCCCAGACCACCATGCTTTTTTAGGGAGAATATAGTTGACTTGTTAACCCCAGGGTGTTTTCCTTTCCATATAAATCTAGATACTGCTGTTTGTAAAAGTAGAAGTTCCTGTTTGGGTACCATGATCGGTAAAGTCCTAAAGTAGTATAAAAGTCTTGGTAAAAAGGTCATCTTGATAGAATGGATTCTACCAAACCAGGATAGAGGAAGGTCCTCCCAGTCATGTAAGTCAGCTTTAAGTTGTTTGAACAGCGGGGGATAATTAGTCTTATAGAGTGACGAGATAGAGCTCGTGAGGTGAATTCCCAAATAAGGGAGAGAGCTGGAGGCCCATTGAAAATCAAAGTTATCCTGCAGATGTTGAACCTCTGCATCAGGTAGAGAAATGTTTAAAGCAGTTGTTTTGGAGGGATTAAGAGTGAGACCAGAGACCGTAGAAAAACGACGGAACAGGTGGAGGAGACTAGGTAAAGATGTTCGAGGGTTAGATATATACATGAGAACATCATCAGCAAATAAGGCATATTTAAGATCTTACTGGCCACAGTGGATACCAGAAATAGTGGGGTAGGAATGGATAGCTATAGCAAGTGGTTCCATTACCAAAGCAAAAAGTAAGGGGGAAAGGGGGCAGCCTTGTCTAGTACCTCGCTCAATAGGTAGAGAAGCTGATTTGTATCCACGGATGGAAATCTGAGCTGAAGGATTAGAATAGAGAGAGCCCGTGTTAGGGTCAGGAAAGAAAGGCCCAACCCCAACCTTCCCAGGATCTGGAATAAATAGTCCCAAGACAAACTGTCAAATGGTTTGTGGAGATCTAATGATAGTAGTAGAATTTCCCTCGGTGAGGATCTATCCCAGTTGGTATGGACAGCTGACAACAATGTCAAATTTGGTCTGAATTTTGTCGACCGCTGATGAATCCGGATTGATTGTCATGGATATAAAGAGCTAGAAATTTATGGAGGCGTAAAGCCAGCATTTTAGTAAGAATCTTGAGGTCACAATTAATTAATGAGATAGGACGATAGTTAGAAACCAAGGTAGCGTCTTTATGGGGTTTAGGGATAACACTAATAAATGCTTTATTTTCGTCGGGAGATACAAGTCCCCCATCCCATAAATAATTGAAATAGTGGGCCATACGTGGAATCAGAAGATCAGGGAAGGTCTTATAATAACTATGAGGAAGGCCATCTGGTCCTGGGGATTTATGAGGGGCAAGAGTTTTCAAGGCATTCCGAATCTCCTCACAAGAAAATGGCTACTTCATTGACTCCCTGTGGGCCTTCTAAAGAAAAGGAAGAGCAACAGAGCTCAGAAAGCTGTCAGAAGATAAGGAAACATCTCATCGAGGCGATTGGTATAGCTCAGTGTAAAAGTAATGACATTTTTGAAGGATCTTACTGGGATCTTGAGATAAAGTACCGTTATTTAATCAGTAAGTTTAGGGAGAGCCATTTGGGAGTATTTAGGGCAATTTACGTGCTAAAAACGTACCTGGCCAATCTCTCCAAGTGAAAAATTTATGGTTAGCCCATCGCAACTGCTTGTCAGCGGTAGTAGTGAGGCATAGGTTAAGTTCCAAATGGGCTTGGTCAAGTTTAACCAATAAGTCTGGATCAGGGTTCTGTTTGTGATGAGTTACCAGGTCAGTATATATTTGAGTTTTAGTAAGGATTAAATCGTTACAAGCTTTTTTAAGCCTTGAGGAAAGTTGAATAAGAAACCCCCTAACCGAAGCCTTATGGGCTGCCCAATTAATAGCCGGATTCATATCATCTGCTTTGTTGATTTCAAAATACGCTTGTAGATGTGACAAAATATCCTGACAATATGAAGCATTGCCCAAAATAGCTTCATTGAGGCGCCAATGAGGAACAGTCCTACCATGGGCCCAGGATAGAAATGTTAGAAAGATCGGGTCATGAGGTGTGGAGAGGATTTTAGCTGGAAGAAGTCTGGGAAGTGAGTGTGTACCAAGAAATACATGATCAATACGTGAGTAGCAATTATGAGCTCTAGAGTAATGGGAGTAATCTCAAGAAGTTGGGTTAGCTTCTCTCCAGGCATCAATAAAGTCATAACAGTATAGCAGCTGAGCAAACTTAGGACTTTGTCTAGAAGGGGACTGAAGCATGGCGGTCCGGGAGTGATCCAAAATCTGATCCAATGTTAGGTTAGAATTACCAGCCAAGATAACATCGCCCTCAAATTCCGAGGCCAGGGAACTCAATAAAGAGTGAAAAAATCCACCTGATTGGTGTTCGGAGCGTAATAAATCAAAAAAGTAAGTAAATGTCCGCCCAAGTGGGATCAGAAGATAGCGCCCTTCCCGATCCCGGATAATTTTAGATTCAGTGAACGACAAACAGCGGGACAAGCAAAGGGCAACCCCTCGCTTCTTTTCCATAGCATTAGCAAAATAACATAGGGGATAGTCCTTGTGAACATATCATGGTGCAAAAGAAGGGGGGAAATGTGTCTCATGTAGGGCTACAATATCCGCCCCAAAGGAGCGGTACGAATTAAAGGACTTAATACACTTAGTGGGAGAGTTAAACCCCTGAAGATTGTGGGATAATATGCGGAGGACCCCGCTGTTAGACCGTTAAGGTGACATGGTGAACAGTCGATACTCTGTGTACAATGGGAACCATTCGCTCTCGGAGCACAGGAATGGTCCAGAGAAACCAGGAACGCAGACAGCTGACCCTCAAAGAAGGAGAAAAGAAAAGCAAAAAAAGACCCAAAGGAAAGAAGTAAAAAGGGACACTCGGAATGTAAACATCCTCGTGTCCGGTAATCAAAGGTATGGTACATAATGATAAAGTCGAATCAAACAATATACCAATATACCAACAATTTCAGGACTAAAGCCCTGTAGAGGAATGGATCTACCCGGAGAGACAACTCAGGGAAGAGTCTTCCAAATCGAGGAGGGCCCATAGACACTCCCCGACACCAACAAAAACAGTTACCCATTATAAACATAGTGCAATATAGAAATAACCGAGCCCCATAATATTACTAATCAACAGACGGACTTATTACAACCTCCAGAATAACATGAGGGGGAGAGAGAACCCCCCCCCACTAAGGTGTAGTACTACACCCACTAGTTTTTTTGATATACTCTGTTGTGTGATTTGTTGAGAGGTATTAGCTAGAAAGTCATGCAACCTTTTTTCTGTTTTCTTGTATATTTACTTTGGGATGTGGTGTAAACTCAAATTCTCTAGTAAATCACTAAATTCTGCACTTTGCCTCATATTTAGAAAATGTTAATCACCAGTCAATATTAAAGCTTCATTCCAGGCAAACATGAGACAAATTATTGCAGCTCTTTATACTTTACCCCTCAGCGACTGGCTGCAATTTATCCATAGAAGATCGGTAGCTTGTCCCAGTGTGACATGGCAGAGGGCACATTTGCTCACATGTTTTGGTCTTGTTCAAAATGATGTACTTTCTGGGCAGGAGTGTTGGATACAATTAACACAGATACCATTAACACTAGGACTTACTGATTCTGTGGAGGCATCTAAACATGTTAAACAGTGTATTTCCTTTATGCCATACTGCTAGAAGGGAAATCCTGTTGAAATGGAAATGGCCTACTCCGCCCATGGCTTCTGGCTGGAAGGCAGTGGTCAATAGGGCTCTTCCCTTATATAAGCTTATGAACATTAGCCAGAACTGTCCTGCTAAATTTGACAGAATCAAGGCTGGCTGGATAGAGGCACAGGGCATTACTGTCTAGACATTGTGACTAGACATTGATACCTCTCCCTATATGACTGGGGTATGGCATTGTGAATAAGAGAGGGTAGAGGTTCATAAATATACTGTATCACCCAATATATGGTTTCTGCCCAGTAACCAAAAAACATGCATACAAAAAAGAGGGGTTGTGAAAGAGATTCACGGAAAAGTGGTTACATCATGGACAGAATGCGATACTCAGAATAATTCCCAAAAATTATGCTTTATCACACAATGATTATAGACAATAGGGTAAATACCCTGGTTCACCATCACCTCAGTATGAAATAATATACAAAGACCTAAAATCACATAAAAGCAACATCATGACCGGTCTTAATAAAAATGTGCTGCATATGCAATGACAGAAACCTGTCTAGTGCATTTGCAGCACCAACACATTGGTTACACCACCGGCAGGGGGTGTGTCAAAAAATTGTACCATCAGGCATAATACTGTACAGCGCTATGCAATAATGGCTGATAACAGGCACCATATATTAATGAGATTACCCATGACCCAATCAAGGCAATGTGGGTGAAAAAATTGAAAATATAAATGGGGGTACGGATGCTCCTATAATGACAGGATGATAGGATAATAGCAATACAGCCCCTATGTAGGGCACGAGTGAGTGGGGAACATGTACAGATTCACAGTGGACATGCCCATATGTATAGATGCAGTCATTCACGAAGGAATCACTGTTGATATCCTTAGTGAGATAAAGATGGCAGCACCCTGCTTCACGAGGTTTCTTGCCTGCAAGATCCTCCGTCTCTTGTAATATATAATTGGTGCCTTGCGCCTAGATAGTGAATCATATTGTCCCCATCCTGCAATAAATTGATGACAAATGGACAGTCAATCAATATATTCTGGCCAATGTATGTGTAGAGTGGCGAATAAACGCCTTTTCATCTAGCTGTGTGACAGTTCACTCACCACCCGAGCCATAGGTGATACTTTCTGGAAGTTACCTCCGTCTGGATTACCAGGCATAGTCCCGGCAACAGCCGCTAACATTGGGACTGTGACTGGCAGGCTCCGTTCTCCCCTTGGTGCCTGTGCAGCCTTGCACAGCTCGTGGCACACAAATATGGCCGCTTCCCTGCTGGTCAGCGTGTATGGCGCCAATGCGTGTACCCGGAAGTGACGTATCTGACATATGACGTATGGGTTAGGCATTGTACCTCGGGTATTGTTCCCTGCCCACAATGGTCCTTTCCTGCTGTTCTCTCCCCCCCTCCCCCCCTTCATTCTCTCTCTCTCTCTCTCTCTCCTCTCCTCTCCTCCCTTTTGTCCCCTTACTCACTAAACTCCTCCATTCTCCTTCTTCCGTGTCCCTCTTCTTTTAGCTACACTCTGATCCATGGTACGTCCAGGTTCTTGGTAGCCACATCTCCCTAGGCTATTTCTTAGTCCACTCACTGAACTGTTTTGGATTATTGATTGATTCTAAAGCACTCTGGGGCACACTTGTATGTGTTAAGAAATTGTGCTGTGACTGACCAGTAATAATACTTGCACATTTGCAAAATCCAACTTGGTATTAGTTTGGTGCCCACACCAGCTGTTCTGAAAATACCAAAGTGATTATCCACATCTGGCTGTATGAAATCTGAATTCTGGGTGTGGACTATTTTGCATGTATGTATACATGTTCCATACCTGGCTGATCTCTGTGAAAGCTGAAAATCGCTATAGTGGACACTGCTACTGCAGTGATTGCTGATGGATTCCATATCCCCTGCTGAGTTTCTGTTCTGCTGCTTAGTAAACACAAGAGGTAACTCGCTTTTCATGGGTGCCAATCAGAGGACAATTTTAAAGTTCTCAATGTATGCAAAGCATTCTCTGATTAGATGAGGTGGATATTGTGATGTCACCGGCTCACCTCTCCACTTCACCCAATCATTGAGAAAATGCAAAGTGTTTTCTGAATGGCTCCTGTTCCAAGCAAGAGATTTCCTGTGTACACTAAGCAGCAGGGCAGCTGCTCATTTTGAGACCCAAAAAACAGATGTAATCACTGTAGTAGTGATGCTCACTACATCAATGTCCAGCTTCCACAGGGATCCTACTGGTATGACACATACATATCTACACTGGTCCATGCTGGATCAATGTCCCTATGCAGAAAAAAAAAACATACCTGGAATTCAGATTTATACAACAATTTGTAAATATATTTTTTAATAAAAATAATCTATAAGATAATAATCAATTTAATGTTTCCAAGGTAAAAGCAAGGTATCTTCTGGAGTAACACCATAGTGGCATCCTTTGTGTGAGACAACATTCATATAATAGTCTGAACTTCCTAATGAAGGCTTTTACCTCTCATTTCCTATTGTCTGTCAAAATCTCTGGTATTAAAATAATTATTAGAGATCATCACATTGTCATGAACTTGTACTGTGTTGTCATGAACTTGTGTCATGCATATTTTTCAGTAATCACCCAGTTAATGATTTCCTTTACAGATAGAGCGTCATGACACCTGTGCTTATGATTATCTGGAAGTACGAGATGGGAATAGTGAGAACAGCCCCCTGATTGGACATTTCTGTGGCTATGATAAGCCAGACGATATCAGATCTACCTCTAACACCCTGTGGATGAAGTTTGTCTCAGATGCAACTGTAAACAAGGCTGGCTTTGCTGCTAATTTCTTAAAAGGTGCTTTATACTTCCTAAAGCATGATTGGCTATGTAGATTTGATTTAAGACATTTTTTGGCTTTCCATTATGACATAAGGTTAAAGAACAATAAATTGTCCATTGCAGTGTAACAAAAGCAAGCTAAACCTCTGCAGTGCTGTTCAACTTAGATAATACACATACAATTAGAAGTGTTCATTGAGCCAAAATACATTGGGATGCAATCTTTGTGCATTTTCTTCCTCGCTTAAGGAATCTATAATTTCTTTTAACAAAGCAACTGTGTTTTATCTTGACAAACAGTGTGCAGTTTAGATATGTCTGTATCCTTAAAACATGCCACTTAATACTCCCTTTTTCATCACTGAAAAAATATGTCAGGATTTAGGGATTCTGTTAATCTGTTTTTGAATATAGCCTAATGTTCAGGACAATGTGTAATTTAGTCTCCCATAGAAAAAAAATCCTTCATATGACCCTGAGTGGTATTGATATCATTCATTGTTGTTATTATTTCTTTATATTTTGGTTATTATTTTTTAAGACTAATGGAAATCAGTGTACTTTACACATATATTTTCTTATATACAGAGGAAGATGAATGTGCCAAACCAGACAATGGGGGCTGTGAACAGCGCTGTATTAACACTCTTGGAAGTTACAAATGTTCCTGTGATCCTGGCTATGAGCTTGGTCCTGACAAGAAGAGTTGTGAAGGTAACATTTCATCAGTGATGTGTAAAGCTAGCACTGTGAAACCAGTGTTCTTTGTGCTTATTTCTTCGAATTTGAAAATGGTGTACAGTGGAATTCAAGCCACAATATTTGTTTTGGAAGGAGTAGGAAGAGATACATTCACTGTCAAGTCTAACACTCCTCCCTTTGTCCAACGTTCTGCCATAAACCATGGTTTGATTAATATTGTGACATGGAAGGAAGAGAGTCTTGTGAGGTCCCAGTTTGTGCAATGAGAGAGATGCATTTGCTCACAAAATTTATGTAACATGGATCATACACATCAAATGACACAGTCATGGCTCATCTACCATTTGCAGAAGGTGTCAGAGGGGACACCAATACACATCCAGACTTTGACTGTTTTGTCTGCAGCAATTGGTTTTTTGTTTGGTTGGGGACGACTGGATAAATGAAGCTTTTGTACACACTTGTAATTAGCTAAAATGCCTGGCATGAAAGCTTATCATTTACTATACCAGGCACAGTTTCTTGCCCAAATTCTGTAAAATGCTGCGGAAATACAGCAAGTAACATTGATAGATCATCAATTGCCTTTCTTTTTGCCTTTTCAAATAAAGTCTTATAATCAGAATAGTAAGCACTATGAAGTGTCTGTATATTTCCTGGCACTGCTGAACAAGCTCCTGTGCACTTCAGGAGTCCCTGAACACAAAAAACCTGTATGCAAATACTGACTTCTCTCTAAGGGCCCCTTTACAATTGTGTTAGCCCACTAAAGAGTGATTTCTTGGTGGATTGTTTATCAGAGGGCATTTGATAGGCAGTGAGGAGGTATTATGCTACTTCCCTGCTGCCTGTTTTGGCCTCATTTTCTAGAATGTACCTGAAACAAGTATGCAGAAGTGAATTCTGACACTTTAATGACATTGCTGATTTTTATACTTGTTACAAGTTAGTGACTCAGACATATTGAACCTGGGGGTATCCAGGAAATAGGTATGCTAGTAGAAGGAACTCAGAAATGGCAGGCTGACGTTTTTTTTCATGAGCCTCCATGCAAACTGGCTTAAAAAACACTGATCTTAGAGGAGTTTAGCGTTTTGCTTGTAGAAGCAACTAATGTTATCTTATCTGTCCATGCACATTAGGTAGTCTAGAGGCATTTTTTAAGCTCAGCGTTTACTTGAAGAAAAAAAAACCTTATGGTTTGTGTTTTTGAGAGCATTCTCTGGCAGAAAAAAAACATTATAAATGCTCCTAAAAGCTGCTAAACACTTCTAAACGCTAGTACAAAAGTGCTTAAAATTAGCTGTTTTTTTCTGCCAAGAGCACTGGCATTTTTTTTAAGCCAGTGTGCATGGAGCCTGAATGTGAGTAAACTGATGCTGTAGTAAAAAAATAGTATCATTACAGCTTCGTACTATGTAATAACAGACATGCTCAATGTAGTAAGGCTTGACTTTAATGCATTTATGAGTTTATATATTGGAAGGACAGCTCTCAATCACTTTGTTTATTACCAAACATCCCAAGGTCCGTTGCTATAACCAATTAATGCCCATTCAGGTAAATTTCAGCAGTGGCCAGGAAGCTCTGTGGTCAAGCAAATATGCTCTGTACTAAAAAAATTCTGCACAGACATTTCATTATTGGCCTCAAGTAGTCATTCTTGCCTAAACAAAAGTAACTTTAGTTTAATAGGTTGTTGTGAGTAAATTCAGGGCTATGTTTTGAGATGATGTGTATTTTGTCATTTCAGCTGCATGTGGAGGGCTGTTAACCAAGCTTAATGGAACAATAACCACCCCAGCCTGGCCCAAAGAATATCCACCAAACAAGAACTGTGTCTGGCAAGTTGTTGCTCCTTCTCAGTACAGGATATCAGTGAAGTTTGAATACTTTGAATTAGAGGGTAATGAAGTAAGTATTTGCTTCTGTCCATTGGCCTTAAAGCTACACAAGGGTGACTAAACCCAAAGCACAACCCTAACCTCGAATGAAAAGATTAAGACATTTCAAAACTCTTTAGATTGGATTTCCACTTTTCAGTCAAAGTTGAGAAAACCCCACTATATGTTATGTGCTTCTTTTTACCCATCATACAAAAAATATATATTTCTTATCTTTTAGATGTTTCTCAGGAGAAGCCCTCCTGGCTTTTTGAGCAGTGTCAGCATGAGCCTATCCTAAGGACAGACTGAGTCTCCTTTCATTAACATACAATGTAATAAGCCTAGCTTCTATGGACCCCAGAGATATGGGGGTTTATTTACTAAAACTGGAGATTGCAAAATCAAGCTCACTTCTGCATAGAAACCAAATAGCTTCTATTAAGCTGCTATTCAGTGCCTCTGGGTCACACAGTACACTACCTTTGGTCACCGCCATAGATTTAGCTATTGATTTAATTACATATAGTAAGCTGGAGAATCTAATATATAGGTATTAATGATTAAAGGAGTAAGCTGAAAAGACAATATCGTTGTTGTAGCAAATGGCTGAAGTAGAGCTGGTGTTATAAATGGGGTGAAGGAGCAGGTCTTGTTTATACATCAGTCTCCCCTGGCACCCCCACCTAAAAGGTTTACTTGTATTTTATAAAGTAAAGAACTTTCTTTATAGTTCACTGAAGGATACATGAATTTAGTAATTCTTGGGCATGTGGGTTATATCCAGGTTCCTTCACAAGGTGGACACTGGCAAACAGAAAAAAGTTGAAGGCCAGCCTGTGTATAACCCCAACTCTAAAGCCAGCCATAGATGGTTCAGATCCCGGGATTCAAACCAATCTATGGGCAGGCTCATTGTATCCAAGTAAATTGTTGTAGGACTTGGTTACAGCCAGCATGTCAGATTTTTCATGCAATTATTGCTAGTGGCTATTATAGCTGCTAGCGATAATTACTGTGGGGGAATGGGTGGGGTGGGAGTCGTCCCTGCCAGGAGAACACAAGCAGGAGGGATTTCCCCCATCAACACTGACTGATGAATATCTTTCCTGAAACCAGTGGCTGTGGTCATGTATGGCCTGCTTAACTCTAATGTTTCCGTTTTTTTCTAGTATCCTAGGGTTTTGGGTGCTTTTTCATCAGCTTCACTGAGGAAAATTTTGGATTTTTTACAAAATTTTAATCTTCCATCAGCATGCTCTGTATTCCATAGATTTCTTTTGTTTCATCAGTCAAGACATCCAATATGCTGCTTGAGCTGGTCTCTATACAGCAGCTTTTTGGATCAGCACATCCTCAGCAATAGCTTTGGAGGCTGTACCCAGACACTGCTGTACCCAGTAATGTGGGGCTAGCCTGTAATGTCACCATCAGACCCTGGGCTCTGTATTTCCGAACGTTGGTGTACTGTGTTAGTCACAGAGCACTTTCCAGGTCCAGGGCCATTGCACAGCCTCTGGTGTGACAGAATTTCTAATGGTTCTCTTTGTGAATAAGGCTCTGGCAGTACCAACAACAACCTGGTAGGTCATCTTCTAACACTGCGCTCTGCATTGCAGTTATTTCTAGAGTCTTGTGCACTGTGTTAGCCACAGAGCTATGTTCACGTCCAGGGCATTGGCACAGCTTCTGTTATGACCCAGTCTTTGCTGTCTCACTGAGTGAATCTCTGATTGTTGTTAACATGTCCTGATGTGTGACCTTTGGGTAATGAACTCTTTTTGGTACTTTTTAGTCCTTTGTGTACTCTATTAGTAGCTCACAGAGCTCATTCCAATTTTGGAGTCATGGCACAGCCTTGTAGTGTGCCCCAGTCTCTCACAACCTATTTTATGTGTATGGCCGGTCGAGCTGCAGTAAGGCTACATTCACACCAGCAATTTAGGCCGGTACAAATTGCAGCAGCAGGAATCTTCTGATTTCTGCTGCAGTTGTCAGCGGCTAGGTATGGCAGCTGTCCCTGTTCACTATTATGACAGGTCGCCACCAGCTGCAGCTATTCACAGCTGTCCGTACAGCCAGCAATTACTTACGGAGATCGTTGCTGGATGTACACAAAATGCGATTTGCACTGGCCTATATTTCCAGGTGTGAATGTAGTCTAACAGCAGCTATCTCACAGTTTTGACCGTTGAACACCAATTTAAAATTCCTGCCCTTTTTACTGAGATAAAGTCATACCTGAGTGAACTCAGTACTTATATTACCCACTATGTGGAGTTTGTGTACACACATTTCTTTTCCACTTTTCCTTTGCCTTTGCACTGCTGCTACTACTGCTGCTGCTTTATAGCAAGTCATTTATCATCTGTTCTCTGATATTTTTCCACGGCCTCTCTACAGCGACTTGATCACCTCTGCCCACTTATGACCCTTATCAGTACCAGCTGCCTTGGTTTGTAAGTATGAGAGGCCTTGCTTTGGTCCTAGTTGTTTACTGATGAGTACTGCAACATGTCTTTTGAAAGACATTGAAAGGACAGTTCCACTGCAATTGGTGACCCCTAATAAGAGAAGCAATTAACTGATATCCTTAGAAGGTACCAACTGTAATCTCTATCCTGGGACTCCTATTTCTATTAGGTCATTTTCATCAGCAATATTTATAACCCTTACTGCCTGAGTATGAGAGAGCTGTACTGTGTCTTTTAGGCCACTTATATCCATCTCTTAACTTGTGTCAGTCTGTGCACAATTAACCCAGAAATCTACTTTACTCTACTCATGCTTTTGGTGCCTTCCATCAAAGAATTTACTTCTGATTGTGGTGGGCCTTTATATCTCAGAGAGCCTGAGGCTCCTATCACAATCTCTGATTCACTACCAGTGTTGTTACAACCTACCATCTAATGAAACCATCTAATATTATTGAGCAGATGCTATATAACTCAGATATGCAAGCTGTTGTTTTCAATCTTATTGATGCAGTACACTCTACTATGCATCAAGTGGATGAATCTGTTGTACCTGGTATAGGGCCTTTTAGATCTTAACTGCCACAAAGACTTTCCCTTTACACTCAGTATTTAAAACTGCTTCTATGGGGACTGGGAACATCCCATGCAATCATGACTTCCTCCTGATGATGTGATGAAGCTATTACCTTTGGATAGGCAATCTTTTTTTTTAATGATCCCTGACTTCTGTGAACCCTCCATTTCTTCACCTTTAGACCTCTTTCACACGGGCTTTCCATATGTCCATTTTTCATCTGTCCGTTTACGGATGAAAAACGGACCCCCATGTATTTCTATGGACTTGCGAATGTAATCTTTTTACATCCGTTAATGTCCACATCCGTTAACATCTTTTTTTTGAGCGGAAGAAAACCCTATTTTTCTTCCGCAAAAAAGATGAAAAATGGAAAACGGATGTCATCGGATTGTATGTAGCCTGGCAGGTCAGGAAAGGAACGAGTGAGCACCCCACCCTCCTCCTGAACCATATCAGGCCACATGTCCTCAACATGGGAGGGTTGAGGCTCCCCACTGACAGCTGATGTGAAAAAAAAAAAAAAAAATTGGCGGCAATTAAAAAATAATTTTAAAAATGACGTGGTGTACCCCCCTCCATCCATACCAAGCCCTCCGGATTTGGTTTGGATTTTGAGGGGAACCCCCACACCAAAATTTTAAAAAAAAATGGCGTGGGATCCCTCCCAAAATCCATACAAGACCCTTATCCGAGCATGCAGCCCGGCTGGTCAGGAAAGGGGGGGGGGGGGGGGGCGAGCAAGCATGAGCCAAAACTTTGTAGAACCAGCTTTCGCTGCAACTACAGCTGGAAGTCTTTTTGGGTATGTCTCTACCAGTTTTGCACATCTTCTTTGCAAAACAGCTCAAGCTCTGTCAGATTTGATTGAGAGTGTCTGTGAACAGCAATGATTATGTCTTGCCACAGATTCTCAATTGAATTTAGGTCTGGACCTTGACTGGCCAATTTTAACACATGAATATGCTTTGATCTAAACCATTCCATTGTAGCTCTGGTTATATGTTTAGGGTCGTTATCCTGCAGGAAGGTGAACCTCCACTCCGTTCTCAAGTCTTTTGCAGACTCTAACAGGTTTTCTTCTAAGATTGCCCTTTATTTGGCTCCATCCATCTTCCCATCAACTCTAAACAGCTTCCCTGTCCCTGCTGAAGAAAAGCATCCCCACAACATGATGCTACCACCACCATGATTCACGGTGGGGATGGTGTGTTCAGGGTGATGTGCAGTGTTAGTTTTCTACCACACATAGCGTTTTGCTTTTAGGTCAAAAAGTTCAATTTTGGTCTCATCTGACCAGAGCACCTTCTACATGTTTGCTGTGTGCCCCACATGGCTTCCTGAAAACTGCAAATTGGACTTCTTATGGCTTCCTTCAACAATGGCTTTCTTCTTGCCACTCTTCCCATAAAGGCCATATTTGTGGAGTGCACGACTAATAGTTCTTCTGTGGACAGATTCTTCCACCTGAGCTGTGGATCTCTGCAATTACCATGGGCCTCTTGGCTCCTTCTCTGATTAATGCTCTCCTTGCCCGGCCTGTCAATTTAGGTGGACAGTCTTGTCTTGGTAGATTTCCAGTTGTGCCATGCTTTTTCCATTTTCAGAGGCTGAATTGCACAGTGCTCCATGAGACGATCAAAGCTTGGAATATTACTTTATAACCTAACCTTCCTTTTAACTTCTTCACAACTTTATCCCTGACCTGTCTGTTGTGTTTCTTGGCCTTCATGATGCTGTTTGCTCACTAATGTTCTCAACAAACCGCTGAGTGCTTCACAGAACAGCTGTATTTATACTGAGATTATTTACACACAGGTGGACTCTATTTACTAATTAGGTGACTCCTGAAGGCAATTGGGTCCACTAGATTTTAGTTAGGGGTATCAAAGTAAAGGGGGCTGAATACAAATGCATGCCACACTTTTCAGATACTTATTTGTAAAAAATTTTGAAAACCTTTTTTTATTTTCCTTCCAC